CACTTGGGAGGTTTGCTAAGAACTCAAGAAGCTAGAGTCGCTCTCGGCTATCGCCTAGAGCGACTCTTACGCTTCTTTCGTACTTAGCAATTTCCCGCGTGCACCATAACTCAATAGTATACGCTGTGGTGTTTACCATTTGTTAATTAACATAACCAAAGTAAAGCGCACTCTCCGATTGGTCAGTTCAGCGTCCACCATTTGCCCACGGGTGTACGCTGCTGACGTAAGCAAATGTAAAGACTAGTTTTCCGCGCGCGCTTGTTTTATTCTGGTCACGTAAGATTTGTTAAATAAAAGAAAACTCTTTTGCTACAATCTATCAATGTTTTATTATAAAACAAATGGTAAACGCCACAGTGTACACTATTGAGTTATGGATGCCGTTGGGAGGTCTGTTACGCACTCAAGAAGCTAGAGTCGCTCTCGACTAAATTCCTTGCGCGACTCTTACGCTTCTTTCGTGCTTAGCAAATTCCCAGGTGCATCCAGAACTCAATAGTGTATGCCGTGGTGTTTACCATTTGTCAAATACTATAGGGGTTTTAGACAGAAACCAAAAACCTCTCGGACAAGCCAAGGTGAAGACATAATATTTATTTGAGGAATCAGTTATTCACCTATTCGAGCCTATATGTATACTTTTCCATATCTTTTATGTTAATTTAGAAAGCAATCTGTGTCCCAACTGAAAACAAAATGTAAGCTTTATAGTCGAACTTGTGCCCAGCTTCTTTACATTTGTTGCCTCGAGTCACCAGTTAATAGCGGAATTTAATTATTTGATAAGCTGGAATTTTTCCTAATCTCCTAAAACCTAGTCAACCTCGCGGCCATTTTATGGGATGTGACACGATTGACGCAACCTCAAAGACGTTGCGTGACATTACCTAAGACAGCGTCATTCCGCGACAACTGCGAAGCGAACAGTCCATAACTTTGACCCTGTTTGTGGCAAAGCAATTCAATTCACAATTTAATTCAATACAACTATAAAAAAATAAGGTAAATATAAAATTATAACTAAATTTTTCTTAAATTCATCTATAGTTCAAACTTGTTTTAAGGAAGCTAAAATTCACCACTGCTTTCCAAAGGGTGCGATTTAGGCTTGAGCTCATTATCTGCCGTGCCGTCATGATTGACAAACACGAATTCCCTGCAGGGAGAATCGCTTCGTAACACTCCTGTAGAAAACGTATCGTTACTGCTCTCTCCTTCAGTCAGTGGGTCAGAAGTGGGCAGTGAAAGTTGACTATCAGTGTCACACAGAGGATTGGTATCACATGAAGTAGCTCTACTACCTTTCATTCTCTGAAAATCATTAGCTATTGAATCTTCTTTGTCACCATCGCAAATTTCATCCTCTCCTCCAGGTTTATCATGAGATAGCAGTTCGGAATTCTCGACATTTCTTTGTGCCTTGGTATCACTGACTCCCTCCTCTCCATGAAGCAGAGAATTTGATTCAGTCGACTCCAATATTCCATTTCCTCCATTAAGAGGAGACACCAGGTATTGTGCATCATCATTATTCCCGCCTTCATGAGTGGCTAAAGTTTCCTCCGCGTTTTCTGCCTTTCTATCATGCTTCCCCGCTCGGACCTCCGCGGTTATAGTTTCTAACTCTCTCAGCTGCTGTTGAATGCTTTCAATCTCAGCCGAAGTCATTGAAAATTCCTTTCCTTTATTTTCCTTGCTTACCTCGCTGAAATGCTCAGATTCCTGAAAGTTTCCTTGCTGAACATCACCAGAGATAAAGCTGCTTTCAGTTTCATCTGAGTTTTCAAAGTGTCCAAAGTTGGCCATCATTGGAACAGGAAGGTTCTCAGGGATTTCACTGTCTTTCTGTTGATTTTGTGGAGGAATTTCCAGCCGTGAGGCAATGTTGTTATCAATCTCCATAAAATCACACTCTGTCTCAATTGTTGATCCTCGGAATGCCAAAGTTCCTTTCAATAAATCCCGAACCTGTTGAACATTTATTGTGTATTTAATAAAATGTATCGTTGTCTCTAAAATCGTATTCCCCTCTTTCCCAATTCATTACAATTTAGCACTTCTGTCTTTTCATCGAGCTTCAAGCGTCAAAAATGAAAAAGAAAAAAAAAAAGAAAAAAAAAGGAACTTGACTCTGTCGGAGTTAATGGTGGTTGCTACAAAAACAAAATCCATATCAAATGTTAAGGTTCACAGACAATCAATATTTCTTGCCTGTTTCAAGCCGGCTAAACACAGATAAACGATATCTCTGACACAATCTTCTTCTTTCGTAAGTTCGTCTTGGAGAAGATCTGAGGAAATAAGACCGAAAAAAATAGACATTGAACGGGGTTCCACTGGAATCTGTATCTCACCATCCTAACTTGGGAATTGAATTGTCTTCCAATCTGAATTGGAGCTTTCATATAGAGAATATTATGGGGAAGGCTGACCGGTCCCTTGGTTTCATCAGACGTAATCTTTATTCCTGTCCAGAAAGTGTTAAAAGTCAGGCCTATCTCACCCTCGTCCGCCCATGCCTAGAATACGTCTGCAGTGTGTGGGACCCACATTACTCAAAAACACTGTCAAGATATTGAAGTAGTTCAGCGGCGAGCCGCCAGATTCGTGAAAAACTGCTATGTGCGCGAACCCGGTAGAGTTACAAACCTCCGGAACGATCTGAACTGGCACTCATTAGAACTGAGACGCAAAATTGCGAGACTTACTGCCATGTACAAGATAGCGAAGAAATGGGTGGCTATTAGTAAGAGTTGGTGAGCATGCATTAAAAAAAATGTCAAATATCTGTCACGATCTAACGAAAGAGAAATAATCGGGTATCTAACAAAGATCGGAGTCTAAGATCTCCTAAGCTCTGCCAACCAAGCCAAAGAGGACAATTACCTTACCTGCTGTTGAGATCAGCCATGGCGGGTGCGTCCTGCGAGAATTGTTATTTGTCTTACTTTTTTTTTTTTTACCTCCGTGCTCAATTGAAAACGGCAACAAAAGGCGTCTCTTACTTTCGAAGAGTGGCTATGAACTGGTACTCACCAACGTACGAATCCATTTTCCTGCCACAGTACAGATACAAGCCTTGCATTTTATCGAGCTCTGATTTCAGAGAAGACACTTGTTTCTGAAGTCGCTCGTGGTCCTGCATCAGAAAACAAAGATAAAGCGTCGTTTTGCTGAAGTTCACATACTTGAGTAAAGCAGATATTTTGAATTGTCCAAAGAAATATTTCAAGTCATTCAGAGTTGTTATCTAACCTGAGCCAATTCGTCATATTCAATTCTAGAGCGAGTCCTCGGCCGGGCCATAAGTTTCCCTTTGAGCGGATTGCTGAGCGACTTCAAACTCTTCCCAGAACCGGTCGAGTGCGACCCAGAGTCCGTGCGCTCCCTCAACTCAGGAGCTGGAACAGAGGCAGGTCGGGCTGGCCGTAGACTCTTAAAGATGAGCTCCTCTTCTGTTTCGGCGCTATTGTTGACACTGGAGGTCTGGTGACTAACGGTCTTCCCAGCAGGCTTCACAGATGCAGGTCTTGTCGGTTCAATGAACTGCTGATATCTCTTGGTAAATGACGTGAAAGCAGATTGCGGCCTATTTGGTCCCTGTTTCTATGGCAACAAAAACGCTCAGGGTAGAAATGGAAAATGGGCCATGAGAATAGATCAGTTTTAAAAAGGTTCTCTGCACAAGAATGTGGCTAAGAATAATACTTAAGAATATTTTCTTGGAGTGTTCCTTGATCTACGTACACACACAGAAAGGTCACCTGACAAAAAGTGTTACCTTTCTCGGTGCAAGTGTCCCGGATGAATCCATGGGATGAGAATCGGATGGACGTGACGAGCGGGGACTGGACCGTGAAGATGACGGCTGGTTGAGGACATAAAAGGAGTAGACAAAAACGACAACGATTTTTAAGTAAAAATTCTCTTCAAAACCGGCATGCTGTCGGGCGGAAATGTAATTGGGGACTACAAGAAAAACTCTGCTCTTGAGTCTGTTCGGTTTGCAAATAGGGACGTGCTATCCGTGATTATTCCTATTAAAAGTCGGGATTGTTACTGATTCCTTGAAACAATTTCACAGTTTGAGCCTCCAATTAAAGGGTGTCTCTTAGAGCGCCCTCCTGGAAGCCCTGTAATTAATTCAGTTCCCTTTCATTCTACATGCACCTCACATGGTATTCTCCAGGACGAGCAGCAAATCATTGAGTTATGGGTTTCTGAAAGCATAAAAAGGTCAGAGAACAAAGTGGGAATTACCGCTCACCTTGTTCTCTCTCATTGTTAAAGCTGTTTTGACGTAACGGAACACGTCATCGTAGACACGTGGAAACTTCATCAGGTAACCTATACAAACTGAGTAACTTCCTGAAAGCACTGCAGACAAACAAAATTCAACTGTAAGTTTCAAGGGGCCAATGCAAATCAATGTTTCCACCAATGAAGGACTTCTGATCAATGGATAAGCGCAGGATACAAGTACAATTTCTGCTCCTGGAAAGCTACTACTAAAATCGCAGCTTAACAAAACCGTTCGTGAATGTTGAAAAAATATTGCTCTAAGTTGTTAATTTTGTTATTTGTAATCTGTCTTCAATTTCCTCGCCTCTGCTGGGGCTTCTAAATTTTAGAACACCGCGTTTTCTGCAACGCAGTACTGGTAGGGCAGCGCTAACTAAAACTTAATGCTGAAAAATAAAAACCAGCCGCTCTTCACAAACAACAGACCGTTTTCACGCTCTTAACACCAAGAAGAGGCTGTTACCTTACATCTCTTCTGTATATATAAATATAATCCAGTAAATCATTTAAGTTGCCAAATAACCAACGAGAAAAAGTCCGAACATCATATTTGCTCAGTTTCCTTAACCACTTCAGCTTTAGTATTAAATACGGTGACAAACACTCCGAATAGAACACGCTTTTCGCGAAGATATGATTCTATACACTTGACGATTCGTGCACTCCACCAAACAGTGTTCAGAAGTTAGTGTTTAATCTGCCACACCTCGTCCTTACGAGACGAGATTTGCAACAAGAGTGAGGGTGTCGGCAAGGAATCCAGACCAGTCAGCAATAATGTCGTCATTTTCAACCGTCCTTGGTCAAGTTAGACTTACGTTTGTTTCTAATGGCCTTTAGCATGCTAATGTAAATATAATCCACCAAGTCCAACATGGGACCATCAGCGAACAAAGCATCCCATAGTACAAGAACGTCATCCATTGGAAACTCGCGTCCAAAGAGTAAGCGAATCCAGCGACTGCCAAATTAAAATAAATAAATAAATAAATAAATTAAAATAAATAAATAAATACGTAAATTGAAGCTCCCCCCTTCGGGGCTTTTCAGCCACAATGTAGACTAAATAAGTGCTTAAAAATCCCCACCGACAGAAGGCAGACCAGTGGGCTATTCACAGAGCGCAACCGAGAACAAATTCAGTGAGTGGCAGGGTGGAACCGAGACAACGGATTATAAGTCCAGCACCCTAACCACTCGGCCACGTCGCCTCCTTAAAACAGATGCACAAAGTAATGATACCGTCATGTTTCCTGACGTTTTAAGTGAAGGTGCCCCCTCGACGACGAAAATAGAGATTATTCCAAGGAAAGTGCGCACGAACGATTTTTATTCACGAGCTGCGATGCACCGAAAAAACTACTCGTTCGCTGCGCTCACTTATTAGTTTTTTTGATGCATTGAAACGGGTGAATAAAATTTGTTCAAGCACTTTCCATGGTATGTTGTTTTTATTTTATTCATACTACGATTTTTTTTAAGAAGATCGACACATTTCAAAGATTAGAAGCGAACGACTGTGAAAATATATCGTTCGTCCTATCAGAGACACGAACGATATTACTTCATGGTGTAAATCTCAGTACATATGAGATAAATCATTATTTCACCTGGTTGGGCGACTATTTCAATGGGATATCATTGGCGTATCTGTATATATTAATTTCCAACAAGAATTGAAAGCAATCTGGGATAACGGTTCTTTGCTCTTTACTTACAGTCCATAGACTTGTGGAGTAATGTCCAAGTTCTTCAGGTGAACCCATAACTCAGGATCGTATTTTCTTAGCATGTGTTCTTGGATTCGATTCAGTTTCTTTACAATGGCTGTCGACTGCATCATTAAATGAACATTAGATCTCAAACTTAAGAAAAGTGATCGTGTCTTCGTGGGTCTGATTGTCCAATCGATTAAACCCACGACTGACTAAAAATGAATTTCTCCTAACAATATCCATAAGCTGTCCAGCAGAAATGTAAAGAGAATCTACATGTAGAGCAGGATGACGAAACTACTCGCGTCATGCCGCGAAAACCGGGATAAAAATTACTAAAAACTTGCCCTATCCCAAAGAACTCCTCCCCAGGCTGACATTCGATACCCTGATCCAAACCGACAAGGTAAAAAAGTTGCGGAATATAATATCGTCTCTCCCGAACACCGGATTAGAAGTGTGACTGTTGAGTGTAACTTACTGGTATGATTTCTTGATCTGTGAATGGTTCAACGTGAGGATCCAAAAACTAACAAAAAGTGCATTTGAAAAAAATAATAAAATGTCAAATTATATAGTGCTTGTGAAGCGTGAAAAAAAAAAGAGATATACACGAAATAAAAAATGTACAAGAAACAAAATAAATGAATAAAATAGTTCGACTTGTGTTGACTTGCAGATGGTTGCAGCATATTTCTTCCCAGAAATTCATAAACTACAAGCACAGTCCTTGCGTCCTCTCATCACTAATGATACACTTGCACTCACTTTATTTCTCTCAGGAAGTCCTTTCACTGGTATCTGAAGATACCAAGTTTCTGTCTGGTCCATAAGTTGAACAAACAGTGCACTGGTCGAACAAAAAAATACCCATTTTTAATTTTCCTTGAAATAAAATTAAGATGCAACACTCGGACCACAATACACAAAAAGACACAATGCAGTATGATACAATTACCTACTACTTTACAAGAACTGGTGTACCCCTTAAAAGTCAGTACTCGGGCCTATTGACCCATCCATCCAGAGCTTATCGCTTAATGCCCACTGGATGGGATGCTGGTTTATCCCAAGGTTACCCCCCAGAAATTTATCAGGCTTCCCTGACAATTTGCCAGTACCCATTTCTACTCCTGAGTGGAGAGAGAGAGAGGCACTGAGAGTAAAGCATTTTGTGCAAGAACAACACATTGAGCCCACCAGGTCTCAAACCTGGGCTCTCCATAAAGACCCTGCATCTCCCATGGTTTGCTCCTTAGGGTCCTTAAAATCATCAGTTTTTCAGGGCTCGACACTAACAGTACCAACTAGCCACGAACTAGTAGAAATTCAGTTTTGGCTAGTGGTTTTCAATTTCCACTAGCCAGTTTGGCTAGTAAACAAACTGAAATTGTTGTTACATCTAAGTTGTCACAAGCCACTTGGCTAGTAAGTTGAAAAGTTAGTGTCAAGCCCTGCTTTTTCCGTCTAAATTCCTGAAAGTTCCAGTAATCAAATGCAAACTACAGAGAGTACATAGAGTTTAACCATTTAACTCCCATATGAGAGAATTTCTCCTTATATCGGACAGGCAGACAAACGAGGAGAATAAAATCAAACACCAATTAGGGGATAATTGATTTAGTTGATCCAATACCAAATTCTCTTATCCAATATTGGTAGAAATGTGTGGCAGACAGTAAATATATCTTATTAACCAAGCGCAAGGGCTGTACTGGGAGAATATCGGCCCGAAGTCTTGACAGCATGGACCAAGTGTAGTGAGGTCTGTACAAAAAAGACAGAGGGCCGATATTCTTCCAGTACGGTCCCGAGCAAGCTTGGTTAATAAGAGATTTATTATACGACTGAAGTTCAAAGGGACACAAGTGCAGTATCATTTGGGACTATTTGGAACAGTGCCCGGTCCAATACTGAGAGAATATTGACCGGCAATAGAGCATTTTGATTGGTTGATTTTAGTTATTGGCCCTCTGACTGCTCGAGTCATGTAATAAAGAGAATTACAAAATGGGATCTCAGAAGTGTGATGGTAACTTCCTTTGTGGCTTTGTGATTACAAAAAAAGAATCAAAACAGAATACTCACAAAGCATCATGCTCTAAGTATTTTGGGTCCATAAGAACTTTGGCCATCCCCCTGTAAAATATCACAAAAGGTATTGTCATGTTACCTTACTGGTAATTTAACAGTACAAACAAGAAAACATTTTTTTTTATTTTAAACAGAGGCTAACTTTAACTTACAAGCTTGAACCTTCAATATGCTGATAAATCATTGCATCCTCTGTTAGAACATACACAATTGGAGCAAGAAGCTCATGCATTCCCTGTGAACAGTAATCAAGAAATTCATAAAAGGCTGAGTTGTAAGTCAGGACACAAGATGTACCTCTTACTTGATGGTTTAACATAAAATAAATGCAGATATTTTGGTAAAGATTGTTTAACAATGAAATCAGAACTGACTGGGGTTCAAATTATCAAGAGTAACACAGGGTTGTTCTCTGTCTTATGATTATAGCAAATATTTAAACCCTAAACCTCATACCTGTTTATAGCTCAACGCTTCATTCTTTTTGGCATGACAAAACAGTATATTAAGCATCATTTCCCTAAGAACAAAATATGTTCAACATCAGGACTAAGCACTTGTCTCAGAAAAAGTTATGCTTCTTTTAAAAATGTTCCACTTACTTCACTTTTGACTGCTGGAAAAACTCAATTTCTGGAGATCTGCAGAAACATATATTCATACCAGGAAGTCAAAATGAAATCAATCTTGAGCATTTTTGTTCGCTAGTGTTTAATGCTATTCGAACTAATTTAATTAAATTAGCTAAAACTTACTTGACATGTTCATGATTGTATTATTTCATGGGCATATATAAGATACCAGTATTACCAGAGTCTATTATAAACGTACCAGTTCTCCCTATTGTTTTACTGACTACAATAGCTAAGTAATACCAAGTTAGAGGATACTGTGCAGATGTATGTTCAGAGGATTCTGAGTAAGACATGGTATAATGGCTCACATATTCTGACTGGTGATGGAAGGAATCAAATCTCTAGAAGAGCATCATACAGTGGTTCAGTTTTAAATTACTTTGGTACTATTTGCACTCCAAGCTTTGACCACTTTGGTGTCTAGTTTAGTTATGGAAACTAAACCCCAACTTCTGGTGACATAGTTATAAATGATTTAAAGGCTTGGAAAAAGTTTGATCTTGCAGTCATCTTAAAGGGATACTCTACACCTCAGAGGAAGGTTTTCTTAAAGGTAGTATTTGTCCCATCATATCTGAAAAATGACGAAAACTTTGAAGAATGGAAGATTCAGAGCAAAAAAACCGTGCTGAAAAGCCCAATTTTGCCCTGTTTCGAAGACTGGAAGTGAAACTCACTTAAAATTGAACACGTGAGTAATGACGTAGAAGTGAGAACTCGTGTGCTTTGCTCTACGGCTCAAACTGAAAACAATGGAGCTATGGATTCGGACGATTTGCAAAGTTATTCTTCGTTGCCACCTTCTTCTTGTGAGAGTGCCAACGAAATTGCTTTAACGGACTGTACAGGCACCCAACCATACCTCTTTGAGCCTTATGAGAGCGAAGCCAGCTCTGGTATGGATTCGAATGAGTCCAGTGAGGAGGAGACAATTGAGCACTTACAAAAACACGGACTGGTAAGCTTCAAATCGTCTCGTGAATAAGCTTGATTATTGTAAACTTTCATAATCTTTAAATTGGAGTATGAATAGAATAAAAGATATTGATAAAGTTTCCTTGTCACATTGACTTTTTCTTTTCTTTGTGCATTTGGAATGCGTAATAAGCTGGCTGTTTTATAATTTTGGCATGCTAACAGTGAATGAGAAAATTAGCTTATAACAGCGTCTTATGTTGAAGCCTTACGACACCTTTCATCAAATTAAAACGTTCACTTAGGTGTACTTGTGGGAACTGTCAGTGACTGACTAGAGTGGTTGAATGCCTACTGATGCTGTTCTGAAATTGACTGTGTGTTGGCAAAAAACAAGGAAGTGGTTGAAACCGAAGGACTTGACGAACCCCTGGTGTGTATTATTCAACACCCAGAGTTTAGCGCTGTTTGCTTTAATCAGGGGCTTCTTCAAATGACATGGTATCAGTTGTTAAATATGGTCAGAACAGCGCTGGGTTTTAAAATTGTTTTCATGTTTAGCCCTAACGAATGAGCAATCATTGACTGTGTTTCAAATGAATCATCGGAAAAGTGACTACTGCAAAGTTTGCTTGAGGCCGTCTGGTTAAAATTTGCTCACGTGTTTCTCACACCATTCGTCCATTCACAAGCACGTTGCACATTTGAAGGCCAGCCATGGAGACTCACTCCGTCTTTTGCAGTGTTCGAACACCCACCAGCTACACAGAGATGGGGCATGATATGGTTAGAAGGTTCTTTTAGAAGCAAAAAATTAACCTGATCTTGGTATTTTCACGAGCGATCTCAAAACATTTAAAGCCAGAACAAGGAGCGAGTTCTCATCTCTAAGTCATTTCCGGTTTTCACCTAGAGCGCCAATTTCGAATAGCATGTTCTGAGACTTTCTCTCTTGACTAAAAGTAAAGGAAAATTGACAGATTTTCTTTGCAAACATCTTTTATTCAAACTATAAGGTGTCTTTTTTTAGAATGTCCTTTTAAGGTGTAGAGTATCCCTTTAATACAACACAGCCTATCCAAGAAATTAAGGGGGGGGTAAATTTCTAAAGAAACTGTGGTGCTTTGTCAGTGGGGGTAACAAGGTAATTTCAATTGGTTTTATCAACTATGTTTAAATTGTAAATTGGCCACTGTAAAGAGTTAAAAAGCTGATGCTTAGAGTGTTAACCCTTCATGAGAGCAAATGACAAAGGGCTAATGCTCAAAATGTCAGCCTTTTAAAACTCTTTACAGTGGCCAATTTACAATTTCAATTTAGTTGATAAAACCAAACTATCTAAGGAATTGACTTACAGTCTATCCAGATCCTGTTTGATTGTGGACTTCAACTCATTATCTACAAAGTACTGTTTCCATGGGCTCTAAAAGTGAGAAAAATTATCATCCATCATAATTAAAACTTATTTGAAACACATTTCGCAGTGACAATGCTACATCTCAAACTCTTAATATATTGGGTTATCAGTATTACATTAGAATTATAATACAGGTCTAATAACTGTATAAGCTGTCAGTGTGAAGGATAGAAAAAGAAACTACTGTCAGTAGCTACATTCAAAATTATGTTAAGCTCAAGCTTGATGTAAGATTGACCTGAATAAAATTAATTAATATAGTTAATTAATTAATATTAATATAATATTTAATTAATATAGTTTTCCCAAGATGGATATCAAACGCACAGCATCCTTTAAACCCTTCAAATACTTGAAGTTCTCATAAGCTGCCAACCAAAAGACTCTTAGACCAGGCACTTTGTGGCAAAAATGCTTTCCATTCATTTCAAGTTCTTTTTTTACTTCCCACACATGCACTTACAGCTTCCTCTTGTGAGAGAGGATTAAAGACTGACAAATCCATGTCCTCATTCTTTTCCTTATTTGGATCAAACAGGCACTGAAACAAAGGGACATATAACATTATTTCATGATTTAATAGAAAACTATTGATTAATATGGTAAACTTTTAGTTCAACTTTCCACTGTAACAAAAGTGAGAGATGTGGCATATTACCTTCTTCTAATAAATAATTAATGAAAAACAATTTGGCTGAATGTGTTACATGTAGAAACTGACTTGTAAACTTCTGTTGCAGATGATATTTATTTTTATTAATAAAAAATTGAAATATCTTACATTGTTCTTGAACTTGACATAGTCATTTCTAAGTTTAGCCGTCTTTGTTATCCATTCATCCTTTCGATCAGGGAGACACTCCAAGAAAACCTAAAAAAGATTTGTATCATATATTTATTTAATCACTTTCACCAGAGTGTGGTGAGGGTTGCACAACAGAGTAAGGCTCCAAATTAAGTGCGCCCTATATCCCACCCATCCCACCCCAGGGGAGGACATCCATCACACAGTAATCGCGATCGTGATGAATGGAAAGATGTCACTCCAATTGAACAGGATGATGGACCTTATCCAGTTGTGAGGATTGCGTCCAAGAAAACCTAAAAAAGATTTGTATCATATATTTATTTAATCACTTTCACCAGAGTGTGGTGAGGGTTGCACAACAGAGTAAGGCTCCAAATTAAGTGCGCCCTATATCCCACCCATCCCACCCCAGGGGAGGACATCCATCACACAGTAATCTCGTGTGTGAGAAATTAATGTCTCCTACCCCAGCCCTGCAGGAGACGGGACCTCCATTTATTCGTCCCTATCCAAGAAGACTAGAATATCTAACCATTTCTTGATGTTATAGAAAGGTTGCAAATTCTTCTCAATTATTTTAAGACCCTGGGTGTTGGTCTGGCCAGGGCTCGAACCCTTGACCTCCTTCACAACAGTCCAGCGCTCTAGCCATTGAGCTGACATGATCATGAAATAAATAAATGAGCCACAAAGTCCAATCAATCCGTCCAAAAGATATCATGATGTTTTATCTAATCCTTTTCCTAGTTAAAATCTCAATAACAATTCTCCTCTCTGCCCTCTGTACATTTTTTAATGATTGTTAGTAGCTTTCAGAATTTGTAGTCAAGTCAAATTGTGTTGATTTTTTATATCTTCTCATCACTTTCCTGGTTGATGTTGTATTGATATTGTAAGGAGAAATTACTCATTGGTCACTTGCAAGGGGGGGGGGGAAGAAATTTAAAACCTAAAACCTACAAAATACTCCCTCTTCCCCACCCCCCCAAAAAAGATTCCATGCCTGAAGAATGAATACCAATTGCACATACTTTCCAGCAAACACTCCTAAACTTGCAAAATCGAAGCTTGCCATCCAAAGCATGTTGTCTGATCTAAAAATCAAAAAGAGAAAAATAATTATATGTTTAAGTCAATTTTTCCAAACATGGACACTGGTATCTATACATGACACCAGCACTTAATTCACATAACTTCCTTAAGTTTGTGTAGTGCGTGTTTGGCCAGCAGTCCTTTGAAGAGTATAAGTACTGACATCTCTTTTACTTTCCCATGAATTGTTAGACTGCTACTGACACTTATGTTGAATTTTTCAGAACTACATGCACCCCTAACAAAAAGAGTTGTCGATAATTTTCCTACCTTAGTGTAATATGTAGTTGAACCAAAAAGAACCTCCCACTCTTGCCTTAAAAACAAATTAAAACAATAATAAGAACAGATTCATATCATGAGGCAATCAAATCAAATGTTTTTATAACATTGCTTGTAAATTCGTGCAATCAAATTCAATAGCGCGAGTGTACTTAAATTCTCTCTTGTGCACGCTGGTAACGTCAGCAAACAAATGCCTCGCGAAAAAAAATTTTTCTTGCAAGTGACCTCAGCATTTTTCATTAAAAAATGGGAAAAATTTCTGCAAAAAAGTTAAACTAGACATGGCAACAAGCGAACAAGCAGATGAAGATCTGCCTACTTTTTCTTTGGGAATGGATTTTTTAACTCCCGAGAAAGAACCCAGAGAAAGGGAAAACAAGACAATCAATGGTTTCATCTCCTTTCGGAACTCTAACTTCATTTCCACGCATGAATTCACCTGTTAGTTTTTGACCAATCTGAGACAAGATCATTGAAGCATGGCGAAATACTTTTCCGAAGCAAAATAACCAATGCATTGAAGTGTAAGAGAGGGAATTTCTGCCCTTTATACATAAACTACAGTGTTGAAAACATTATAATAAAAACAATTGGTTCAAACGTCACCTGTGCGTTCATCGAGATATGAAGCACTCTGGAAGTTTGGAGAGCATTCAAAAAGCTAGAGTTGCTCTCAGCTATGCCTCAAGCAACTCTTACGGATCTTTGGTGCTCTCCAAACTTCCTGCGTGCTTCATATCTCGATGAACGCACGCTGATGTATGAACCAATTGTTAAATTTTGAAGCACAACCATGCAAGCTACACACTTAGATGGCTTGACTTGCACGTCTGTCAGAAGGTCACCTTGTTTCTGTGGCTACTGTATTAAAGTAAATAACTAGGTCTGGGGCCTGTTTTAGTCTGCTATGTTCTTCCCTGTTTCACCAACCTTAACCATTTTCACTCCCAGATCTCAGATCTTTACAAAATTAGTTTCTCCTTACTGTTTGCTGAACAATTTTCATGATTTAAGTTTGGAGAAATTGGTATTTGATCAAATGGTAATCCCCTTATTGATATGTTTCTTTATTCCCCTAACTTGTCTCCTTCAAAGTGTATTGATATTCTAAGGAGAAATTCTGTATTGGTCGCATATGGGAGTTGAAAGTTTAAAAATCAGGTTTCAGAGTGGAAAGCACAACATACTCTAAGTTTTTCTGCTCTTCAGACAAATGAACCACTGAACTGGCTGAGCTGTAGTCTGAGTCAATTTCACTTCCATCAGCAGAAATAAAACTGAGTCTTTGTGTACCAAGAGGATCTTCAAGAAATGACAATCTTCCAGGTACTAAAGGATCATCTGCAAAATGGAAAAGTTCATAACATGCAGTGGTTTGTAAATTTATAAAAATAGATGAGAAAGATGGGGGAGGGGGGTGGGGGTTTGGGTAAAATGTCTCATGTGTAGGCCCTGAGAAACTCAATCCAATGACCTTTGAACCTGGAATCCTCTAAAAGTCTCTGTCTACTCTATTTGAGGTTCCACTTTTCCATCAGCCATTTTAAAGTATACATTTTATAAATAACTTATTTTATCAATACCGTACAGGCAGAGCAGTTTTCCATTGGGTATTGTCAATGAGCCAATAAGAACTCAAAGTGAAACCAAGCAAATTCCAGGAAGCCTGGAAATATGTGACTGACTAAATTGCGATCAGCTTTAGTTTTGAATATGATTTATTAAAAAAGTGAAGAAAGTTTTCAGGGCCAAACACAACAAAATAAAGCAAAACCAAAGCAATCCTGGTTTACCTTCAACATTCAATTGAAAAGTTCTCTATACAGAGGGTTTTCATTATAAAAAGTATGCGCAAGAGAATAGTGTAATAAAAGTAACATGAAAAAATTGTCCATATCTGAAAAAAAAAAGCTGAGGCTTTTAAAATGTTGCAGCTAATTCTGGGTTAAGGAGCCTGAGAACCTTCTATCACTGATACCTTATGATACCTTCAGAGAATTAATATTCCTCGCATTTTACCAAGGATAAAAAATGAAGGAAAGATCTTGGTGTAATCCTTTACTAATCTAAAACAAAACCATAGTCCCAAAGGCAATCTACTTTTTTTTACCATGATAGTTTTCTTTATCAAAGAACTGCACGCACAATGAAGTATGAAATTGTCTTCCCTAAATTATTCCAAAGCAAAAGCTTAAAATAAATGGTAAATTGGATGGACACATGCACATGAATGCTGAATTTCTTCAACATAAACTAATCTTGACATGAAAATGATCTAAATTATTACTATTTGATTTAAATTCTCTTTGTATGATAAAAAAAAGGTAAAAATTCACAAAAAAATGTTAATTCAATACAAAAAAATTCCATTAACTCTTAGAAAAATATATAATTCCTAGAAATTCTTAAATATGATGGATTACAAATTAAAATAACTAAAGTTTAGAGAAACTCAGGGATTTGAAAATGATTTTATATTTTGACTGATCTCATTAATATAAATGACCACAAAACCATCACTTTTCTAGAACAGTGCTATAATGGATTATGACATTGACAGAAGTTAAAGAAGAATCCCACATTTCAATGAAATCTTATATTTTGACTCTTCTCATCGATATAATATGACGATATTGAAGATGTTTTGTTTGATTAAGCGACAGCCCATTCCTCAGGGATGTCTAGCATCGTTTTAATCCCAAATCACAAAACCCTTTCTATAAATCAAAAATCAGTTTTCTCATAAACCAGTAGCAGATCAAAAATTATCTCTTTCTTTCTCAGTCTTGTTACAACTCTTTCATTAATGAATACAAGCATTCAGAAAATTTTGAATTATTGACATTGCATTTAGTATTTGATGCACAAAGTCATGATCTGTTTCCTCATTGTCTGCTGGCAACAGAAAAAATATTTTCTCCATGACTACTGCTTATTGTTTAAGCAAGTGTTAATTTTGTGACTAAATAAATATTCCAACAAGAAGAAAAGAAAATTCAATGCCATCATTAAAATTGAAATTTTACTGCTCCCAAACTTTGTGGATTTCATTTGAAGGTTTAAAGATAAAAATTAAAACGAAACTTTTTTAATTGTGTATGATTTCAGAAATACTATGATTCAGTCTTCAATTAAAGACCTAAAAAATGCTTAATATATATAGTTCTATCTGTTTCTGGGATTTTCTTCTTGGGAAAGTTATTTATCTAGGATGCTGAATTATTAAACAAGATAGCTTCTTGCTTTCTTGTTGAAAAAATAATATTTTCCCGATCAGAAGAAATGACCGACTTATAATTTACCGGAACAAATCATACTGTGCAAAATAAACTAGAAAATCACGAAACAACAACGCATTTGGATAGGCAATAAAAATGCTCGTTTTAGCAAGAAATTACCAAAGAGTTTCGTCATTATATTTAAGGAAAAAACGATTTCACATTTATAATCAGCGGCCACTTAAAACAAAAACTGTACGCTGAAAGAAGCTTAATAAACTGTCCTTCGGGAGAAAATGGCTTCATCAGATCTCAAAAAGAAAGAGAACGCCGGCCTCGAGACATATTTACTCTAAATCTAATCAAATTTAATCAAAAGTAAGCTTGGCAATTCGCTCCCTTCGACCCTAAATTTTCACTTCAGAATTTGTCAGAGTTGAGTTGATTTCAAGAACAAAGTTATTATTTATATATACTGAAACGGAAAATCGACTCCATGTGTCATTTTTTCCAAGAACCGGAATTTGAAATTGGATCACCTGCAAACGTCTGCAAAACTCACTTCATGTACATTCGACATGAATTCATAAACACTGCACGCAATAAACGACACTTAAAACTCCGGGAAAAAAGTCGAAAACTGAATAGGTCAAGATCGACAATCTATTTATAACGCAACTTCAACGAGGTAAATGACATATGACGCATATCACATGAAGCAACATTGTAACTGATTGTAAACATCGTGTCGATCGAAGAAAATCATGATCAAGTTTCCTTTCACTCATTTTCAATTGATAATACTAAAATACCTTATATTGTTCTTCAACGTATAATGGTAAAGCGGAAAAATACCATTCCGCACAACAGAACTAACTCAGATGGAGACTTCAGATGCCTACCTCTGTCTTCCTCAACAGGGCTTGGAGTTTTGGAGCCATTACCGAAACGATCTAAAGCTTTCAATATGTCGTCCGGTGAGATATTATTTTCCTTTCCTGAGTTTTTATCCATTTCATTTAAGAGTTTACGCGCCAAAAATCGCCGTTCCAGGTCGGAAAAATCATTTGTTTCTTATTAGAGGTGGTTCCTCAACTTGTTTGGAACCATCTTGCCACTCAGATGGAAATATTGTGGGCTCAGATTAACTAACCAACACTGTATGATCAAATGCGATTTTCTCCTTTGACAATAACGTTAAGATTGACATTTCTCTCTTGGAAAGAATAGTTCACTCTGTATTGAAATAGTTACATTATCAGATATGCAAATAAACGTTTGAGAAAAATTTACGCTCGAGTCCGGTTGATTTTCGGGATGTGCACGGGCGTGGGACATCTTTAAAGTGGGGTAGCGGTGGACAAGAGATACGTAGTACAATAATTTAATTTAGGTTGATGATGCAAATTGGCCAACGTAGAGAGATCCACTCCCCGAGAGATTATAAAGCTGATGTGTCGACTGTTTGCCCTTTGTCAGAGCGAATCTAATTAAGTTGTTTAATTTGTGACTTCCCAATCACTATCATAATTATAATTATAGTTTAGATGAGCTTCAAACCTCAGCATTAAACTATATAAGTCGAGTTTTTGATCATTTATTCTGTTTATATATTTTTAGCAACGTATCTACAAGAAACCTTAAGACTCGCCGATCTAGTAGCCACCTGCAGCTGACAAGATCAGCCAAGCTAGGAGAGGGTATCGTGCTGAAGAGGGTCTATAGATCTCAATAATCGTGTGCGGCCAGAATGAAATCCGGAAGAGCGGAAACATTCTCCTCAATTCAGGCGCTCGGGTGAGCGTTATATGCTCTGAAGTCTTTACAGTCAGGAAACCTCACAGAATATTATCACTAAGTGTGAGAATCTTGCAAATGAGGGTTAAAATCTGATATAAAGGATTTAAAAATTTGGCAAGGAGTTTGGGATAATTCGATGGTATTACACAAAGACTTGTCGCAACCAAGCACAATGTCATGCTTGACCGATGTTTACATACTGCTGTTGTTCCGGGTGCACATTTTTGTTTAACCTAAAATATTTCAGTGCTAAGGATGAAGGCTGTCTTCGACTGCCTGCTTCAACTTGTAGAGGAATCTTTCTTCAGGACGGCCGATTTTGACCTGCGGTCCAATCGGAAATTTGTGTTTGAACAGCTGAATTAGTTGAATCTGCAGGTGATGACTATATGAAAATAACTTCCTCTTTCTTACGATTTCTTCATTCTATTTACTCCTTAATCCTCATTTTGGGTCTTTTTTTTTCCAATTAAGAAATGGGGTCGGGAGCGAGTTCGAAGGGTACCCGGGCGACTGTGCACACAGCTGTGGGTGCTGTCCGATGGAAGAAGAATGCCCCTTTTTCCAAGTCTTCAGTTTCAGAGGTGGCGCCAAGCGAAGAACCAACTCCTCAGACTGACAATGATAAAGATATGGAGGACGAAGGAAGGTATTGCTGAAAAAAAAAGTACTTCTACTCCACATTTACTAACTTTTGCCTCTTCATAAAATAATATCGGGGTTAGATATTGAACCCGGCAAACATGTAATTGAAATAAAGTCGTCACTCAAATTCAAATTAACCTTTTTCATCCAAGGCCAAATTGAGACGCTGAATTCGCACGACTGATGTAAATCATAACAATATAAAAACAAAATTAAAACGCAGTAAGGTACAGAAAAGATGAAGTGTTGCTAAAAAAAAGGTCAATTAAGTTGTGACAAATGTATAAAGCACAGAAACAAAGATTTAAAGTGAGTCACTTGGAATGAATAGAAATGATATCTAGACCGTCACCGAAAAATTCAAATTATTACTAACCTAGCCTGAATAATTAAACAAAGTAGCTTAATTTGTCAAGAGTCCATCACTCATGATTTTGTGTCTGAAGGGAATGACTTCAGCAAGCCCCAAGGTATTTGAAAAACATCAAAATCAAAATCAAACAAACAGCCAAACTAAGATAAAAAACATAAATGAAAAATTTATCCTTTTCTAGGAATTCTCATTAAGTCACCCTCTAACTCTCGCCCATGTTGCTAATTGTTGGCCATCATGGTAGCAAACAGAGGTTTCCACTACAGATTGTTCTTCGCAACTTTAAGATTATCTTACAGCTGTGGTTTACATGTAACAGTCCTTCATTGCAGTCTCTAACCCTTTAACTCTTGATATCTTATATCTAATTCTGCCCTCAAGCTGCTACACAATTCCTTGTAAATTATTTACAATAATTTGGTATTAGATCAAGATAACTAATTTACCCGTCTGATAAGTTTTGGTATTCTCATTATGTTTCCTGTTTGCTGCATGATTTATGAATATTACAGGGAGAATTTGAAGTTACATGTTAATCACTTCTGGGAGTTACATTGTGTAAAGGCTAAAGAAACCATGTGTTATTAATCATTCTGTATTACAGGAAATTAAAGAACAACAAGAAGTCTGTTCCTCAGACTTCTACGACCACCACGCAAGCCTCTTCAAAACAAGGAAAAGAGAAAGCAAAACTTGGTGAAACAAAAAATTCTGCTCCGAAACCTGTAAAGCCAGAAAAATCTGGTGATAAAGGCAAATCAACAGTAAACAAAGTCACGAAAACTTCAGAGGCAAAGAAACCAGCCAGAAAAACTGTTGCACCAAAGAAAGCTACATGTACAATCAGTGATAATGACCAACTAAATGTTGCTAGTAAAAGTGTCCAACTTTCAACCGGGTAAGTTTGAAACACATAGTAATGTGATTCGAGTTATGTTACCCAGCTCAGTTTCAGTAATTTAGTTACATGTATTTCAAGTCCTTTTGGTCTCAAAAATCAAGTTTTGTACATAATAATGTCATGCCATTTTTGATACGTTAACAGGCCTTTGGTAAGAGGTTGTTTTGGCAGTTTAAACAGGCTTTAAAGTAACTTAATAAGTTCCTTTCATAAATATGTGAGCCTTTAAGGGGAGATTAGCATTTGTAAAGAGGTAACCAGTTTCCTTAATATATAATTAGATGAAAATTGTTCCTAAAATAATCATTATAATAGTCAATAGATGTTTTTGTTTTTTAGATCTGATTTAGGTCAAAAGGTTGAGAGAGTTTTAAAAGGTTTGATAGAAGAAAACTACCCTCTAAATTCAAGGACCATTCGCATCTTTCTGAGTTCCACATTCACTGGTAAGGAATGCCACCTTAAAGTTTGCTTAGTTGCTAAAAGGGGCGACAACTTGAAAAAAATGGAGGATGAACATGTAAGATCCTTTCATCTAGTGTGTAGGTTATAGGTATGTTGAAGATGGTTGCAGGTCATATTTATTCTTTCTTGTGTTATAATAATTATTTGGATAAACTAGCTTTATTTTTTTCTAACTTAATTGTAGACACAGAACATGAGCGTAATGCTCTCATGGAGCAAGTGTATCCAAAACTGAGACAATTTTGTCAGAAGAAAGGCTACGAATTCCAGGTAAATCTTAACTGAATAGCAATTAATGAAAGATCTTGTAATAAGTGGCTGGATTCTACAGGATCATTCACCAACCACAAAGTTATTAAGTAGAATCCAAAAATTGAGTGTTCTTTAGATCATATAGCACATTCTTTGTTGCTTATTAGAAACCAATCTGCAGATCAAGGTTTACAAATCATGAGAAATATCAGGTGAGGAGTACAATGTATTAATTTACAGTAACAGGAGGTCATACTCCACATGTTGACGAAAAATAGCGTAAGCCTTCAAGTTAGAAAATTTTCAAAGAGAAATCTGTGCAGTAACTAAGAGAATTCTCTTATCTCCTGAATGTGTACTGAACAGGTTTATTAATGAAGGGATCACATGCACAAAAGGTAGATGTGATCGTCAGCACTAATTGATGTTAGGCGATTGATGTCTGTCAATATTTGGTGGATACTGAAGCTGGTTGTTACTTGATTGAAGGGTGACAGACACTTGACTAGTAGTCAGTTGATGTCTGCAAAATGTTTTTAACCATCAGTGTCAAGGCATCAAGACTGACATTGACCAACCATCATTGACTAACCATCACTGACCAACCATCACTGACCAACCATCATTGACCAACCATCACTGACCAACCATCACTGACCAACCATCATTGACCAACCATCATTGACCAACCATCATTGACCAACCATCATTGACCAACCATCATTGACCAACCATCATTGACCAACCATCATTGACCAACCATCATTGACCAACCATCATTGACCAACCATCATTGACCAACCATCATTGACCAACCATCATTGACCAACCATCATTGACCAACCATCATTGACCAACCATCATTGACCAACCATCATTGACCAACCATCATTGACCAACCATCATTGACCAACCATCATTGACCAACCATCATTGACCAACCATCATTGACCAACCATCATTGACCAACCATCATTGACCAACCATCATTGACCAACCATCATTGACCAACCATCATTGACCAACCATCATTGACCAACCATCAGCCAATTATCTGCAATTAGCTCTTATCTGCCACTTACAGACTATTTTGTGACGGATACATTTCACTTACAGGATAATTCTAAATATGCTGCATTACTTCCTTTTAACAAATTAAGCACTGATCTTAGGATTGTTGTTTTTTTTTTACTTCAGGTTGTAGACATGCGCTGGGGAGTACGAGATGATGCTACAGATACACACATGACAACTCAGCTATGTCTACGGGAAATCAAAGCTTGTCAAGAAATCTCTGTTGGACCAAATTTTGTGGTGAGTGTTTTGATTGATTGAAAACTAATTTTATTGTTTATAAAAACATTATACTTACATGTAGTAACTGAAGCATCATTTTATTTCCAATTAAAACTATTTACTGCCATTGTATCTATTTAATGGTGTAATTATGTAAAACCCATCTATTTTTTAAAATGCTTATAAATACATTATTTGAAGAATCTACTTTACATGTCTTGAGTTATTTCTAGTATATTTGGTTATAGACTTCTCTTTTTACAGACTTTGCTGTCAGAAAAGTATGGTTATCGCCCATTGATGCCTTCAATTACTGCTAAGGAGTTTGAGTTAATTCTCAGTAAAGCCTCTGACAATCAAATACATGAACTTCTTATCAAGTAAGAAAGCTGCATCTCCACAATCCTATCAAGATATGGTGGTTTTTTTTTTTGTATTACAGCGTTTAAGATGACTGTATATTTAAAGGCCTTTTGTGAGCACAGGTGTCATTAAATACTCACGAGGCACATATTAATATGGTGACGGCCGGCTCTTATATCTTTATCTTTTGTCAAAGACATACAACTCTGATATGAACATGCAGATTTGTTTTCCTGATTGCAGGTGGTACAAGGAGGATGAAAACTGTTTTCCTGTATCATACATTCTCCAGCCTGTAACAACTTGGATACCAAACTTCATCAATGATAGCTGTGATCTATCCCTCAGAGAACAAGCACAGAAACAATGGGAGAGTGAATATAACATGATGAGAGAATTTCTCCTACAAGCTGCAAAGGAAGTCTTAAACGAGGAAGATATCTGGCAGAAATATGTCACATCAGGTAAATTGACTCAGTGCTCTTTGAATGTTGCAGCTGAATTTTAATCTCAGGTAAAAACTTCTTTCTCTTTTTGCCATGACTGCAAATTTTTACTAGCATCTTGGGACAAATTAGATCATTCAGTGTTTTTTAAATGTTTAGTTTATTGTCTTTGAGACTAATTATTTTCAATATCTGTTGCATCAATTTTAAGTGTCTGAAGAAGAAATTAAACGGGGACTTTTAGAAGTTGGAAACCCAAAACGATCTTGTGTCTGGTTTCACCGTACAATCAATGGACTAGACTCTGATGCAGATAACCCAGAAGTGTTAAAATATACTGATAATTGTCCTGATGGCATTTGTCTTGCTGATGGCACCCATCCCCAGGCTCTTCTACACAACTTGAAAAATGAAAAAATGAAGCAAGCTATGGATACTGAAAATATTTTCACCTATGATGTTACTTGGACACCAAATGGTAAAGAATAGTATTTTTATCTATTCTGCACAATGTTTTATTTAACTGATAAATGTACATAATGTGAATGGATTTATATTTAGGCTTCATTAAATGAAAAATACAATACACGTAGAATTATTAAAATTCACATTTTTTGTTTGTTTCTTTTTTTATTTCTTGTTTTGGAACATTGTTAAATTGAATAAAACCTCCCTGTAATATTCACTAAATTTTCTATGCCCCAATAATGATCATAGTTACACTGTAGTTTGGTATTTGGGTAGCTGTCGTGGTTAAAGTCCCTATTCACCCTCAGAGGTTTAGATATATTTCGATTCTTTGGGTTATCAGGATTAATCTCCAAAAAGAAATTTTTTGCAATTGATTAAATATTTCCCGAGATATGCTGCCTCAAAGTTACTCTTTTGGCCACTCCCTTTTGACTTGGCTGGGAGAGAATTACTGGGCGGAGTGACGTCACAGCAAGAACAAATGTTAACTCCTATTGCTATAAATTGATGAACGAATGTTAACTTCTATTGCTATAAATTGATGAACGAATGTTAACTTCTAATGCTGTAAAATGATGTGAAAGTGCCAACTCGTTGCGTGGTTGCTGGTTGCTCAAATACACCAGATTCGTCTAAAGGCACATTCAAGTGAATGTAGGTACATTGATCGAAAGACATTCTTGCTGTGACGTCATGCAGCCTTTTAGTTACCAGTATTAACTTAGCCCGGCCAAATCAAAAGGGCGTGGCTAAAGGACAAACTTTGAGGTGGCATATCTGGCGTAATATTTTATGTATCTAAAAAAGTTTTTGGAGATTAATCCTGATAACCCAAAGAATCGAAATATATATAAACCTCTGAGGGTCAATAGGGACTTTGAGGTAAGGGGAGTCTGAACCCCTTTTATTAAAGCTGTAGACCTTTGGGTTATATTACTACTTGTCTGACACCAAAATTATTCTAATGCTGGAATTTTATATTGCTACTTACCTCGTTGATTCATTTTTTTAATGCTTGTTAAGAAAAGTAATTTGCTGCAAAAAGAAAGTATCTGTTGTCTGAACCAAATTTGCCCCCCTGCCTCCTCCCCACTATCAAAAATGGGGCAGCTGGCAGCTGTCCCAAATCCCAGTTTTATTGGAAAGAGCCAGGCAGCCTCTTATTCCCCTCTGTTCCACAATGGGATCTTACATGTAGTATTTCACATGACTAATATAATCAATAACTGTTGTTTTTATCTTAAGGTATTGATCCAAGTCTTGATGAACACAAGAAATATCTTGATCAATTTTGTAAAGACTTTGAGGACAAGATAAAGGATATGATATCAGAGGGTATATCTGAGCACAAAGTGGCTGAAACAGACAATTTACTCTATTCTGAAGTGGTGCAGCACACACTCTTTTGTAAGAGGAAACTTGAAGTTGTTTATGGAAGAAAGTCAACAGTTGAGGTAAAAACATTGGGATTACTTGTCAAGAATCAATGATCTTAGGATAGAACCTTGCCAAATAAAACGTGGTTAATAAGAACTCCTTGCTAATGCAAATTACATCTGATATCCCTTAAATTTGACCCTTTGTTTCAGTCATTTACTAGCTAAAGCTTCTGTAGCATCATCATTTTCTTGTGTCACTGTCACAGTCTTCATTAGTCTCATGACCTGCACATGATTAACCTCAAAGGGTTTTAACACTTTCATGTCTCACTTAAAGCCCACCATGAAAACTTTTTTGAGGTCAATGCAGAGATAGACATGTGGTGACTTTAAATTCATTAACTCACAGGAAATTGAGGATTATGTTAGAGGCCCAAGTAGATACCCACTGGTGATTCATGGAAAGTCTGGTTGTGGCAAAACAGCTGTTATTGCCATGGCAGCCAAGTCTATAAGCGAATTGTTGGATCAGAAAGGTTGTATATGTCTCAGGTAATAAAACACTTCTTGCATTCATATTAAATCCTTAACCCCCAAAAGTGATTAATATGGAACTTCTCCTTATAATTTATATACATTATTGTTTTTTGGTTTTACATTATTTTTACATTATTGTTTTTTTCCTATGAAATTGTGACTGGGGAATGAACACCTTCCACTTTAAAACTTATAACTTGAATTAGTATTATACTAAGATAGTGGATAGGGTTGAAGGCACGCTCTGATTGGCTACTCAAACACCAAATTTGTTATAGTCGTTACGGGAACAAATGAGTTAAAATCATCTTTTTTTGCTACATTATCTCACTTTTTATGTGAGTACTGAAACATCTATCTATCTCCACTTTGGTGAATATTTGTTACTTTTTTGGGAAAAACTTCTCATTCTGGCTTCCCCACTTTTCCTTCGCCAAATAATCAAAACTTCAGAAAAAAATTTATGGCAATCTTGACTTAATTAATGTTTTCCTGGAAGTAAATTACCGACTCAGTAATGATTGGCAAGACAATTTTTTTAATATAACTATATAATATAATTACAATACAATATAACTATTGTCATCATCGTTGTTATTGTTATAACAGTGATGCTTTACTTGTGAAACAGTTTGGGTTAAAAGGTAAAAGTTCGACAATTATCAATTCGCAGGTTTCTTGGCACAACACCCAAAAGTTCCACCATCCTCCGAGTACTGAAGTCGGTCATGCTACAGATTAAACACGTCTACAAGCTCACAACGAAAGTTCCTCGTGTGAGTATCAACCACTCCGGGGAAATACTCTGGATCCGAAGATATGTCACCCTCACTTGATGTATTCGGCGAGAAGGCCGTCATTAGAGAGATTTACCACCGCTTCACTTGAAACGGCAAACGTCAGTTTGCCTTTTCACGTTTCGCGTAAAATAGCGTGAACTTTACTGCTTTAGCTTCGCGTATTAGCTCACGTCATGGTGCATTTGAAGACGCCCTTGTATGACTTACAAGGAATAGTTTTGGTACCCTTTTTCTGGCAATTAACTTCTTTTCTGAGGGAATAAAGGGGTGAAAATCTCACGTACACTACAAACGCGAAACAGGCTACTTTCACGTAGAAACGGCAAAACGCAACCGACAAACTTATGAAAATGGAGGGGAAAACGCGATGACGTTGTCACTCTTGCTATTCACGTTTCACATAAACGCTGTGCTAAATCTCTCGAATTGAGGATCGGTCTCCTAAAATGGCTTCACCTCAAAAAATAAAATTTTAGCACCAATTTGTGAAAATTGAACCCGGAAAATGCTTTGATTGTTCCTCTCACGTTGAATCTGGTAAATTTTTAAACTAGATCCCACTGCTGATTGCAATGATTCCATTTTTATCGTAATCATTTTTTTTTAACTCAGTCGTCCAAGGGAGTGTTTGATCAGTTCCCAAGTTTTTTGTCCAGTGCGACTAAAGATAATCCATTGGTAGTTATCTTGGATTCTCTGGATCAACTTTCTCCGCTGCACGGAGCTTGGAAATTAACATGGTTTCCCAGGAAGCTTCCTCTACACGTCAAATTTATCGTATCTACTCTCCCTGATCAAGAATACAAATGTTTTCCAGTTCTCAAGGTGAGAATGACTGGAAATTGAAGTATTATAAAACTATTTTAAAAGCATATCTCGAATTTATTGATAGACATTTTCAAGCAAGCTAGTACGAGTAAATCAAAAAGAGCAAGAAACCAGAATTGAGAGAGGGTTACTTATCTAAGCAATTTTTAATCGAGCATCGAAAGGAATTGTTAATTGATTTGAGATAAATTCTATTTCGTTTTGCTTTGTTTCTCTCTTTGTTGGGTCGAGAAAACTCAGGTCAACCCCGAAGCCTTGAATAAGATGCTAAACTAAACCAATCGCACCTTAATCGCTCTCGTTTTTACCGTGCTCAAAGCAGTTTACTCGATTTTACTTTGAGTTCTTGTGGGCTGTTTGTAATATATTTCTTTTGTTCTGATCGGCAATTGTGAATTGTGCGTTGTTTTCGAAATGTGCATGATTATGAGCTGTTCAATTTTCTTGAATTTCTGACTCGCTTGTTCAGTAATCAAGGTTATATTTCAGGCACTCTTCAAAAATCCAAAATGTTTCGTTTCGGTCCCTGAATTGTCTTCAGACGACGTGAGTGACATATTGACCAACTGGCTGAAGTCGGAGAACAGGACCCTCCAGGGCCATCAGCTGCAGGTCCTCAAAGACGCCTTCAAAATGTGTCCCCTTCCTTTGTTTCTAAAGATCTCGTATGACGAGACTCGACTTTGGAGATCATATTCAGCTGTCAGTGAAACTTGTTTAGAAACAACCATACGAAAGGCTATCGACAAGCTCTTGGAAAGAGTCGAAATTAGCCATGGTGAGGTTCTTGTGCGACGCGCGCTTGGATATCTTACAGCAGGTAACTTGAATGTTATAACGTAGATTCGCTTGAAAATTGTCCGGCAAAGGGGTGAAATCATTCCTGGAAGTAAGGACGGGAAGAAGAAGTTTTGGCGGCAAACTGCTGACCGCAGGGAGGCATCGGTGACAGGTGCCCATAGTATGGAAAACCATACTATAGGCAACCGGCATAAAGCTTGACAAATCTTTATAGACCAAATGCGTGGACAAACATTCAAACACTACTGGCTCCTTATGTTGTGCTCTTTGGTGGAAAGTCGTGAGATATTGGTTTTGTTTTGAGCGCATTTTCATTTTCTCCCTCTATATTCAGCTTCTCTTGGTCTCGCTACAAATGAACTTGAGGATATCCTGTCTTGTGATGAAGATCTTCTTCATGACGTTTTCCAGTACTGGACCCCACCGATCAGGCGTCTCCCCCCCTTGCTGTGGGTCAGAATAAGGGCGGATCTCTCCTCTTACTTAGTGGACAGGGGGGCGGATGGAACTCAGGTTACGTGCTGGTATCACCGTCAGTTTGTTCAGGCTGCGGAAGACAGATACTTGTCAGATGCAGTGGAGAAGAAGCGTTTACACACCCATATTGCTGATTACTTCTTGGGAAGAAATTTTGTTGGTAAGTAATCATGCTAAGGGTAATGTATTTCAGGAGCAAACATTTTTCGGTGAAAATGGAGGGTCCTCTTGCCTCTAGATTCTAGCATACAAATCAAGCTTTTGAAGTTTCCACTTTTATACCCATTAACCGATTCCAGAGTTTATTGCTCTAACCACTATCGCCCACTGCAAATCTTATAGTAAACGGAAACCAAAGGGAATTACATCAGGTACCGTTAAAACAGCACCTTTTGTGTGGTAACTCCACGGTTTCTCGTCAAGAAACATTCTTTTTGTTTACAGAGGAAGATACCAAAGAAATGACCGTAATTAACGGCAAGCAAGTGCGTTTGGCGAGTATTTCAGGACAGCCCCTGTTATTGTCCAAAGGTCGATACAATTTAAGAAAACTTCACGAACTTCCCATCCAACTGATTCGCAGCCAGAGATGGGGCGAGTTAAAAAGTGAAGTTCTCTGTAACTTTGAGTGGCTAAGTACCAAGATAGAGGTGCGTACATTGAGGTAAGAATGTAGATGTGAAGAAGTCTTTAATTTTGTTGTAGCCAGCGGGCATACACTCATTATCAGCGCTGCACTTAGCGCGTGTCTCCGCCAGCGGGAAAGTTTGGGACGATTGGAATAGTAACTTGCCAGAGGTCTGGCGCTCAAAATTATTGGTCCTAGATCCCTTGACGACTAATTCACGGTTCACGTTCCTCAGTCAAGACCCCATACTTTCCCGCTGGCGAAGAAAAGCACGTAATAATAATGAACGTCTAAATATATAGAAATATTTAGCACCGCGTTTACGTGAAACGGCAAACGACAGCTTGCTCTTTCACGTTTCACGTGAAATAGCGCGAACCTTGCTGCTTTAGCTTCCCGTAAGCTCCACGTCATGGTGGATTTAAAGGCGCCCTCGTATGCCTTTCAAGGAATAGTTTTGGTGCCCTTTTTCCGGCAATTTACTTCTACTATGTGAGAGAAAAGTGAAGAAAATCTCACATGTACGGCGAACGCGAAACAGGTTACTTTCACATAGAAACGGCAAAGCGTAACCGGCAAACGTAAAAATGGCGGGAAAATCTAGGTCACGTGTGTTTACTCTTGCTGTTCACGTTTGCAAGCTTAGTTTGTTCGATAGAATAAATTCGAATCTCCCAATCACAACTGCCGTCTTTTTTTTTTTACAAGTAATACTTTAATTATTATATGTTGTTCAAATCTACAGATCTGTGCTGGATAATTTCCGTTCCGCTATGAACGCCGTCAATGATTCAGACATTGCCGCTGTTGCAGAAACTCTCCAACTCGCACAAGACGCTATTTTGAGCGACCCCAACCAACTGGCAGCGCAGTTTGTAGGCAGGCTTTATGAGGTAAGCTATTAAGGGTCCTGTTTGCAGTCGAAATGTTTATTTCGTCTTTCGTTTGCAGTACCAAAGGGTATCTTTATATCCGAACGTATACCTCTATAATTCACAACGTTTTACACACTGATCGAACGATTTTGTATTTACATTTTACAAAAAAGAGCCTAAAAATCTTTTTTCATTCACATTACAGGGTAGTGTTGTCCTATGTTTTAGCTTTAATAGGTCTTTTTGATTGTAAAGCTTTTATGCATCCCTTTGTTTTCGTTTCGTTTGTTCGGTTTAGTAGAGTTGGTCTCTGAAAGCTTCTTAACTGTTTTGTACTTTATTTTTTCGTTGTTTTTGCAGTGTAAAGTACAGGATCCATTTCATGTAGTTCCAACCAATCTATCCCCGGTAAGTCTACCACTCTATGCAAATCAGTACCTTCATTGTAAGGTCATACGTTTTCCGTGCATGCCATTGGTTACATGTCTTCCCGTGCATGTCACCGGTTAGATGTTTTCCCACGCATGTTATCGATTAGATGTTTCCCGCGCATGTCGCTGGTTACATGTTTTCCCGCGTTCATAATGGCTCACACGTTATCATCATCAGGTCCTAGCTAAACTAGTCAAGGATTCTCGCAACCCTCCAGAGCCGGCGCTCATTCCGTCCAGAGGTTTCCTTACCCCTCCAGGTGGACAGTTGGTTCACACACTCGTAGTTAACTCCGCCAGTGTGGTGTATGGACTGGCAGCAACAAGCAACGGAAAATTCGTTGTTACAGGTATTTGCTTTCCTTGCTCGCTAACCAATTTTTTTTTGTTTTCAAATTTTCTTGGGTAATTTCAGGCTTAGTTTGAAAGATCAGTTCCTTTTATATATGTATGCAATTTTCTTTGCGGCCGATTTAGTTACACTAATCGGACTTCTGTAGTTCTTCTTTGACGATTTCGTCCCGTTTGAAAGTGTCTCAGGTACTACAATATTATCCATGCATCCCAAAAATTCAGGGGAGAATGCTTGTTAATTTAACGCGATTCTTTCTAAATTTCTATTAAAATACGAGAGTTCGGTTTTTTCCTTATCAAATATAACTTCGGTTTCTCTATTCAAGCCTGGTTAGTTTTTACACGTGAAGTAAAAACCTACTTTTTATACCAATCGGTTATTTTTGAAACCTGCAAACAAGATCCCAGCTCATTGTTCATTGTTTCGGTGTAGGCTCACAAGAGGGAGTCGTCAAAGTCTGGGACAATAGCGACGGCTCGTTGGTCCTGACTGTGCCGGAGGCTGGGGAGGAAATTGGTACGATCGCGTGTGGGTGTGATGATGACGTCATCATTGTGTCCTCCAAAACTGGAATTAGTTTGATCTCGTTTGAAACTGGTGAAATACTTCAAAGGTAATGGTTACTTGGATCAGTTATGTTTTTGCCATGTTAATGTTTTTGCCAGCGATGTTCTCAGTTTTTAAAAAGTCTTTTGTGATTCTTGAGTAGATTAGTTTTACATTAATTTGCTCTATGATTTGGCACCACCCTTTAGACCAATCAGCGGATTCAGAGGTCAAACCCTTGTCCTCCGTTACCAGATCACTTTCGTTTATCCCCGCTTCTTTCACTGTTCGAGTTTTTACTCTGAATGGTCTTGGCTCTTTGTGATATGATCTTTTGTTCTAATGACATTAATCAACGCCTTACCCACTGCAACAAGTCGCAACTTATTGACACTCTTTTTCGATCGAAGATTCAGTACCTTGTGATTTTCACAGGTCTCTGGTAATAATGTAGATTTGTTTCTTTCTGATATGAATTTGAATAATAGAGTGGAAATCAAGTTCTTTGAGGGCTGTCCTCCGTTTACACTAGCCGGCGAAAAGGGATCCAAAGTAGTCTTCCTCAAAGAAAAAGGCTTACATGTTATTTCTGCTTCTGGAAAGTTTTTGCACCAATTTTCAGGCATCAATCCAGTCGGTGGCGCAGGTCAGAACAGTTTACTAACCTCTTGGAACGACACCGTACTATGCAACTCAAAAGAAGATGAAAACTCTTTGAAGGTGATCGACACGTCTGACTACAAAATTCTTCATGCGATCAAGGTTTTTACTGAGAAGGACGAAGAAGAATTCCTTCATCTTACCCAAGTAACAATGAAATCTGAAAGCGAAGTTCTTGTTGCCAAGAAAATGAAGATAGATTTGTACTCGGTCGACAGTGGTGAGCATTTGCGGACATACAAATGCAAAGTAGACGATTGGATTCGAAACTTGTCCCTGGATCCCGACGAGGGCATGCTTATGTTTCCCAAAGAAAATAAAGTCGCCCTCCTCGATCTCGAAAGCGGTGAAAGAAAAGATGTCCTACCACACCCTAATTTTGTGTCGAGGGTTTTTGCTGTCGGCTCCGACGTTATTTTAACATCGGGCGGCGACAATGTCGTTCGAGTATGGGACTTAACTCGTGAAGATGTTCATCGACAAGTACAAAAACCCGAAACAGTATTAAACATTTATTCTATTCCTGGCGATCCTCGACACTTGGTAACACTGGGGCGATTAGGGATTGACAATTACTGTGTGACTATATGGGATTTGGCGACCATGTTACCACTGCGCAAAATTACTGGCATAACAACAAGTTACCTTCAGATCATCAATGACAGAAGAGCTGCTATTCGCGTTAAAGAAAACGTAGCGATTGTGGACTTACACACGTGGAAGGTTGTCAACGTCCTCAAAGGAAAAATCCCTCCCTATGATCTGCTCGGTGTGGACGATATTTGTGTTGTGAACGATAACACTGAAATACTTACCTACTCGCATGATCGCAAGAATTTGATGCTGTACGACATCGAAACGGGAGACCAAGTGGCCATGTTAAAATCAGGCCAGCCTCAGCAAGATATCCGTTCATTTCTGGTGAACTCAGAAGGAACAATCGTCGCATGGAATGAAGCCAAGCCGACCGACCAAGTGCACGTGTGGGACCTGGAGACTAGAGAGCAAATTTTTATAATCAAGAGGGAGGGGTGTGAGAGACAATCAATGACACACGCAGGGTTTACGCCGGACGGCGACTATTTCGTGTCCAGTACGAAGGAAGGGAAAAAAGGGAGCCCTGTCAAGTTTTTAGCGGTGTGGGATATGAGGAAAAGTTAGTATGACTAGGTATTTTTCTTCTCGCGATAATTCTGCCATATTTGTTAGTAAACTGAGATCTAGGAAACTACTTACTCAGAGTGTTCGTCCTTGCTGGACGTTTGAAATGGTGTTTACAGTTGTACGAAAATGTACTTTGGAAAAATGCTGGTTTCTGCTGGTTTCTCTGAACTCCAAGACTCATTAGGCTTGTTCTCCTAAACCGCGCTACTATATAACAACACAAAGATCATTTCAAGGAATGTGTATGTCAATCATAACAGTGTGTTTTAAAATTTCAGAGGAATTGTTGCACGATTTGCGGTACTCAAATGATACAGACACAATCTCTGTGACAATTTTGGACAACACCCGGGCGATTACAGCACATAAAGACTTGAACATAGTTTGTTGGGACATCGAGGAAGGTAAGCTCTCCTGTCATGGGGTATGAATTCGAGCATCCAAAAGTATTTCCGTAGTTAGTCCATTGGCGTCCCAGCACGGCTAAACCTGGACCCTGTTGTAAGCTGCGACATCACTAAAGCTGACTCTTTCCTGACTTACGCGTTCGGTGTTTCCTAAATTGATATCGTATCTTTAAAAACCTACCAAGTATTTCTATATTAAATGAGTTTTTGCCTGTTTTCTCGCAATCTAGGGACCCCTATTCATATTCTTCCCAGCAACCATTTCAGTAATTTACGAATCAACATCATAGCTTCCAAAGGAGACGTCGTGGTTTCTTATGACGAAAAGACGCTGATCATGTGGGACATGAGAGCGGGCGCACAGAAGGCGACATTCACTGCAGATAAGGTAAGACGAGCTCTCACTTAGGTGCAAAAATCGCTGTCCCCAGTCTTTAAAAATATCAACGACGTAAGTGCTTGAGAGATGCGCACAGGGACAGATGGGAGAAACGAAGATTCTACAGTCTTTCTCTCTTCTTCCTTCCCATCATCCCCTCCGTCGTGGGTATTTCGAGTCACGAGTGACCCCGCGGGAAAAGGATGAGAAGACTGGGAACAAGTCAGAAGGAGCTATACTGTTTTGCTTCTTACGTATGTAGGGGCAAGTTAAGTCTTATAGCGAGGACTGCATTGCTTTTTTTTTTTAGCTCAAATTTGAGGTCAGTTAAATACTTTGCCTGTTGTGAGTCGATTTCTGAGCTGAATTCCTTAGAAAACCCTTTGCGAGGTGTCGAAAGGCCCGAAAACGCTCTTAATTTTTAATCATATGAATTATTCCTTTTTCTCACTTTTTGCAGGTGACAGCAATTCATCCCGTGGGGGAGGGTCAGTGTATTGCGCTCGGCTATGAAAGCGTATTACCATTAGTACTTCTTACTCTCCAGGGAGGGGACGTGAAGCCCTACGAATTCCCCACGGAGGGTACCAAGGCCATCGCTGGAACAGGTGCGGTACAAAAGCATGTAACAAAACCAATAAAGTTACTTTGAAATTTTCACCTGTCATGTGTTACTTTGAAATTTTAGATTTTTGTTGCACGACGCACGACCATGGCGTGATGCGCATCCCCTTTGCGCAGTGGCAATGACAGGCACCGACCTTAATAGACCTTTTTAGCTAGTTACGTAAATGCGAGATTTACATGCAGCCCTTATAAGGTCCCTTTCGGACTTTTAAATGTGTTTTAGTCGAGTTATTTTAAGGACATACTCCACCTGATCATATGTTGAATTTCCTAGACATGCAGATTGAGTTCGAAGGCATCAAAGGCGAAATTGTCGAAGAAGAAGAAGATACGAAAGTAAGCGACGGCGAAAACGAGACAGTTAAGCAAAGAGAGAAGAAGGAGGAACACGGGTCAGATTGCGTGACTGATCGGCTAATCGAGAATTGACAATAAACAACAGAAAGCGCCAAGGAGGAATTGCATGAAATGTTGAAAAGACAGATTACAAATGGACAGACGTGGAAGAAATGATTATCGCACTAAATGAACCTAAAACATAGTAATTGAAGAGATTAAGAACTACCTTCAGATTGATAACTTGCAAAAAAGGAGGGCCGTGGGTTTGTCAGTGATTTTAACGTTACTCTCTTAAAATAGTTTGGATATATCAACAAAGTTGAAATGGTAATTTGGCCACCGTAACGATTACAAAAGCTGACGTTTCGAGCGTTAGCCCTTCGTCGGAGCGAATAGAGGAATTGTGGGTTGTGTATGCTTTTAAAGGCAGAAAATGGAGCTACGTTATTGTTGGGAACATGGCAACGAGAAAAACACTATCAGCCTTTATTCTCTTAAAATAGGGTTACTTAAAACTATAAGACTTAGATAAGGAGTTTTTTTCTTAATTTCCTTCTGTTGATGTCTTATCGACAATGATAGAGGATCGGCGTCGTCTTCGGTGTTGAAAGATCTGATGATTCTCACCATTTGGTCGTTGTGGTTTCTCTAGTTAATAAAAATAGAGACCTTTTAGTTAACCTCCCGCAAAGGAGGGTAGTAGAAGATATTAGGGCCAAGAGAGGATCTCCTCTCTTGTTAAGGAGCGGGAAAACTAATGCAAAGAAATAATTGAGAATAGTTCACAAATTTTAGCAATTTTAGGGTCAATTTATTTAAATTGATATATTGTTTGATAAGATCGTTGCCCGAATGAATTCTAATTTATTGAGTATTTAGAACAAGTTCCATTTTGTAAGTGAATGTGTGAATGGTTTCGTTCCAAGCGAAAGTGACTGTGGAATTGTTTCTAATTATAAGTTGAGTTTATTTTGTTGTACCAGAATATTTATAATTGAACTAAACGAAAAGTCGATTTCTTTTCAGTACAGTGTTTGCTTCTCTTTCTCTAATTGCTTCAGGCCAGATTTTTAAAAGAACTCTCTTTTATTCAGATCCAGTCGGTAAATATCTTGTCTTCTCGATGCTTATTGGTTAGGACAGTAGGCAAGAAGTCGCTGCGACAATTAGCTTCACGTACACGGCGATTTGCCTTAACATCTTTGCACTGATTTTTGTCAACCCAGCGGCGATCGAATTCAGACCAGTATTTTTTTGTACACTAAAAATGAGTCGCCGCGACTTGCAATTGTCTTTAGTCACATAAAGCAATTTTTCGCAGAGACTTTTTTCAGTGAATTTACTCCTTGCAAGTGCCTGCATTGTCAGTTTCACCTACAATGTCTTAAAGACTTATTTGTGGTAGGAATTCGAGACGCAAATTCGCAATATTCCTATTGTTGAGCCACTGTACCAAGCAGGATAAATCGTCCACTGGGAAGGGAAGTTTCCAAAAGGGCACTCAAAACAACGAATTTGAAGACGCTGTTCTGAGTTTTATTCTGGAACGAAAACACTCTGAACCGAAGCTTCAGTAAACACTACTCTCGTATTCGGCGGAATACCTATAATGCGCAAGTTCATGGGTTCGAACATTCTCGTACCCAGGGCCTCTTGTCTACATTCAAGTTACCAAAAGAACGAGAACTCTGGGAACGATAATGTTATGCGAACGGTGAACATTGCAATCGCTTTCCGGTGCGAATGAAAAATTAAATATGAAAGCACCGTCTTAAATTTAATTGTATCTGTTGTGGCTTTTTCTCTTTATCTAGATGCAACTCTTTCAGTTTCACCAGAAGCTAAGGTCTTAAGCTTCTGGTTTCACTCGTAAGGAAGAATCCTTAATAGCCAACTACTTCCGGGGATATTTTTTCGTGCACCAACGTCACCACCATATATTAACTGTCTTAACAGAAGATAATTTTTACCAAGTTGGAAAAATCTCCCCCTTGTCTATATTTCTTCATATCAACCAACCCGAAAGTCCAGTCTGTGCAAGTGAGACCAATAAAAGTTTCATCTCCGCTTTTCTCCTGTGAACTTTTTTTCACCCTGAAATAAAATGAACCTCCTCCTCCCTTTAGTCTCTTCTTGTCTTTCTTTTTTAGTTTTTCCATTTGAAAACTGTTAATTATTGGTTTCCTTTTGGTCGCGACAATTTTTGTTGATGGAAACGGAAAATCAGTAATTCATGATGTATATAAATCATTGAGCAATCTCATCCTTTGATTTAAAATCCTCATCCGTACGCAGGAAAATAAAGAACACAAACTCACATATATTCAAAAAGAAAACAAACCTTTTCCATTTTCCTCTGGGAGGAAAAAAGCCTCCGGGGCTTTATTGGTATTACTTTACAACCAAGGTATCAAGGTGTTTGTGAAAGCGTTAGCTGAACAGACCCGCTGGAGTCGTTCTACGATCAATAATCCTCTTTGTGAAGCGCAACTCTATTTCTAGCGCAAATTGGTAACCATTAAGCCAAGTTCCGATCGATAATTCCAAATTTGCATCTGATGGTTTATTTTTCGGTAAAGTCGACTACATCGAGAAAGTTCAATTTGTCCATCTTTCAGATCTGCTTTAGTATCATTTTAGGATTTTGGTTTAATTCATATGAAGAAAATATATCAAAACTGCGCTAGTTGCGAACTTGGAAATAAGGTCATTCTTCAAAAAAAAGTAAATACTTAAAATGTTGTGATTTCTTTTAATTGGTTTCTCTTTTAAATGGATTTCACTTGCATCATTATTCCTATTCAATTCAAATTGGAAAGTTAAAACGCCTCGAGACATTTAACGTACAGACAAAACATTTTGCCCTACGAAGGAAAGGCTCCTAAAGTAATTCTTTTGTTAGAAAAGAAATAAAAAACTAGGGAAAAGGGCAAAAAGCAGAAGTAAGTTTATTTAGTTTTATCTCTAGTTACTCAGACCAACACACGCTGTTCTCTTGCGTTCGTTTCTCGTGTCTATGCCGAGCGCTCCACCAGTCCACTTTTCAGAATATACTTTTAAATTTGAGATGTTAACTTGAGTTTCTTATTAAAAGTGCTGACGGGCTCAAATGAAAAAGGTTACAGGCTATGTAAATTTCACCCTTAAAAAAATTTAAGGTGGCACTACCATGACTATTAAAGACCTCTCGACTTCCAGTTTGCGCCTCGGTTTTCGCTTTTCATCTTAATAAGGGTTTCAAACAAGAAATAAACGACAAAAAATTCCCGAAAAACTTCAAATACAAGGAGAATGACCTCGCGAGTACGCGAGTGTCTGGTTAAGGACTTTCAAAAATTGCGAGAGTGTGCGAGGTGAGGGTCTATTTTTAAGCATTCACCCCCACGCCTCAACCACGCGACAAAGCCGCTTTTATTGGTTGTGGTCATGATGGCATCCCTACAAGATGTCTATCTGACATTGCGTCGGAAACCCTCGTTAATATCCGAGGAATGTCGGTAATGCTTCTAATCCGGAACTCGTGCAGTTTTCATCATTTGAATCGATCAAAGATTGAGTGACCCAAAATTTTGAATGTCGAAGAGTTGACAGATATTTTGCTCTTTTCCCTTTCGTTCCCGTTCTTCTGTTTGAGTTTTCTTAGAAGTCACTATGATCTTTCACGCCCAGAAAACCGAACAGAGGAACGAACCACAAATAAGGCGCGTTACATTCTCAAAGAAAAAACATGAAAAGGAAAAAAAAGAACAAAAACAAAACTACAGACCGACAGAGAGTGTTAGACATTGTAATCTGCAGGGAATCGTTTCAACAGGCCTGTCGTTGACTCCGAATAATAACAGAGACTGCAACTTGATTGAATCTGGTAAACGCAGCCTTCACTGATAGATTTCGCCTTTTGGAATCTACGTTTGGTCTTCATGGGTCGATGGAAGTAACATTAGTTACGATAAGGTTAGCCTCCACTCGGCTGCTTATTCCCCAGTTTTCCGGCTTTTGGAGCGTTAATTTCCCGCATCACACAGTCTAAGCCATACAGCATTCAAACTAATTTTGTTTATCCGCTTTACCGGTTTCTGTATCACTCTGCCTTTCTTGCAGAATTATAACAATAATATACTTTCACCTGCAAAAAATTTGATCAGCAGAACTTTTCTTTTTATGTCTGTTGTCAGAAACTTCAAGGTTATGCACCAAAACATAATGTGAAATGATTATGTATATAATTAGATGTTTAGTGAATGCATAGATTGAAATGATTTTAGCTGGACGCTGTTTTAAATTCATACAACAGGAACCAGATTTGACAAACGTTTTTTGGATGGGTGTGGTCGAGTTAGGAAAGGAGCTCTAATTAATTGCCTACGAAATATTTCGAACTTGACTCTTCCAGAAACTAAGCAGATTGAGAAAAATTTACTGACTGCATAAGCTTATTCAAAAATGTAGATTTTTCAGCGCTTCTCTGATGGGTGATAGTCAATAATGTCGGATAAAAATGGCAACAGCTAGTTTAAAAGATGAGATTGATCGCAGCTGTTTTGCAACGAACCCACAATAACAACCTGGATTTAATTTCAGGTTTGATTACAACGTGTTTTGATCAGCGAAAGAAAATCCCAAATGATCTTCTCTACTTCTTTATCAGCCGGGTTAACAAATGGTAAAAAAAAAAAAAAAAACTTGTAATTTACAATTGCAACTCCGAGCTATGGCGACTCTTTCTCCATTGATTTACTGTTAAACGGTAAAACTTTATCTCATTAGCGGTACAATCATTAAAGATAGTGGTGATTTTTTTTTAGAGATGATTCACGTTTTGTATTTATGTATATGAATTATTGCTTTACTTATTGATGTCCATGGTTAAAATAGTTTCCCTAACAAATTTAGCTTCGTTTATCAGCGGTACTCTTTTTCTATCAGGATTAACCTTAATCTCCAATGCATGTTTGAAAGAATCTTATCTTTGTTACTTTTCTTAAAATCATGAAGAATTTCTCAAGTCTAGCTACATGCGGATTTCTCTTTGTTTTAGATCATGGAATAATTCCCTGAGTAAGGTAGTTTGAACAGTTTTCATCATTGACTCCATCTATAGTGAATTCAATACTTTTTTGTCCTGAAATCTGCCATCAGTCTTTTCAGTTTCAAATAACACCCACCGTGGTTTATTTCCGTTTTATTATAATAAAAACCATGGTAATTACAGTTTTCCACTAATTTGGAAAAAGAAACCCATTCAAACAAATGATTGACATTTTAAATTTGGTCCGTTTGCAATAGACAAATTGTTGATGAGCTTCTAAACTGAGTTTCAATATTTGTGGAGCTGAAAATGATTTTTTTAATTACTAAATTTATCAAATTCATCGGCGACTTTGTCGTTTGGGTTATCGCTTCACTTTTCTTAAGTAAACTTGCCTTGATAATTTGGCTTTTTAACCTTTATAATTTACGTATTCATCGATAAAAAACGTTGATAAAGGATTCTTAAGGGGCGGCCTGTTTGTTGGTGAATTAAAGAAAAGAAAAATTGCTGAAAAGCCTTATCGGCTTTCTGTAGCAAGTTTACCTACAGTGGTAGAGATGGTTTCAATTATTTTTTCATACATTTATACATGACATACGAACACGTAAAGCGAAAGAGTCGATTATTTGAATGAAAAAGTACATCATGATATGAGGAAAATATGAGTTCATATGTTTAAAGAGCGAGTGGTATCGACCATTCTTTTTACCTTTGATTTTTACCGATATAATCATACAGACAAAGAGTCTTGAAGTTAAAATGCCCTGTTCAATGAAGGAAGTTTGCGAGACATTAAGCCATCAGCAGGAGCTGTCGAACCATCTGAGAGCCCCCTAAGTTACATTACCATAACACAACAACACACCGCAGACTACTGGCTAAAGATGAAAAACAGGAACACGGCATTTCTGTTCATTATAGTCAAGAGGATTTTACTTTCCTGTTGTTCTGTAATCCTTAGATAAACACTTGTGCACATTCCGAGAACAACTCTAAAATGGGGCCTGGAATAAAAGCGAGTTTGAATTTCTTGTAAGAATTATCGGACAACTCTACTGTTTTAGGCAATTATATATTAATTTCTGATTACTATGGGGCGAAATTAACGAAGATGTAAAAGTCTGTTGTAGAAAGTCAGTGATGCGATTGGTTGATTCACTGTGGAATATCAACAAGCCTCTTCAATAAGTTTACACTTCGCGCGCGAAACGATTTGCAAACACAACCGCGCTTCGAATTATTTTTGACACAACATATTATTGCGGCTTAATGAAGTGCCTTTATCAAGCGAAAGTAGCATTTTTAGCGAGAACGATCTAGAAGTGGAAGAGTTTGGATGACGGACTTTTTTAGCGCGATTTCCGGTTGAAAACGCGTAGGATATTTGGGTGCGACCGCGTCACGTTGAGAATTTTCGATTATTCGCGTCCGCCAGGCATGCGTAACGTGATGAAGTAACGCAGCCGATTGCACGGCAACGAATCGAGATGTTAACCTGTTCTTTTGCTGATTAAGACTTACTGGCAAAGTAGTAACCGGAAATCTGTTTTTCATTTTCGCGTTCAAGATGCTGCTTCTTCTCGCCGCTCTGTCCTGCATTATTCAGCATTCCTTGGGCTATAACCTAGAGACTGAATTACCAGTAATTAGACGGGGTGATACGGGAAGCTACTTTGGATTTTCGGTTGCCAGCCACTCATATAAAGATTTTTCTACACCGCAGAGAAATCATTCTTGGTAGGAGTATGGCTTTATCTGGTTACCTTTTACTTGACGAGCTTGTGGATAATTGTGGAATATTTGTGTGTTCTGAAGGATGCTGGTCGGTGCCCCTAAAGGCAACAGAACAGCTTTGCCGCAAATTGAAAGTCCTGGAGTTGTCTACAAATGTGATTTTGCTACAAATGCGCAGTGCTCAGAGTTGGAACTTGACAAAAAAGGTAAGCTTGATTCTCAGCTGACTTCGATGTCCTCAAAAGTGTTTCAAAATTAAAATGACTTCGTGTTTGTCGTTGTCGCGTTCCGATGAATTCCTTTCTGATGTAGTCGTTGAAGTCACGGACAGACAATTTCAACTACGTGATCTTTTATGCACGCTTGCTATGTCCTAAATTCCATCGGAAATACTGTTGTCTTTTTTTTTGAGCCGGTGTCTCTAAATTTTAAACAAATGGCAGTAGAGAGAATGAAGTTCATTGTAATATCTGAGAAAATTCATCCAAGCGTTATTGTCTAAATTGATAAACAGTCTTCTTTGGTCAGCTCTGGGAGAACCTGCTAAACTAATTCACTATTGAACCTCGGAAATTTCAAATTTTATTTGAATCTGCCCCGTTAAACCCGCGTGGAAAGGAAAGTTTGCCTGGATGAAGCAATGAAAGAGTGATCTTTCGCTTTCCTCTGATTTTAACTACTTTGAATATGTGGTCCGCGGTTTATGTAATGTGTACGGTGTTTTCAAATTCGTGATCCATATGTCAATAATGCTAACTAAAGAAGGTAAAAACAACTTATCTCAAACAAAAGTGCTTTTTTCTTTATAAAGTACCACAAATTGACACTGTCAACTAGTTTTTGTCATGCATGCGTCAACCGTTAAGCTTTTTAGTTGTTGTTTCTGCGCACAGAAGGAGAGAGATGCTCACGACAAAAAATTTTCCCATCCCGTGTTCTCGGACTGCCTTTGTTTTCACGCGAGCTCACTAGGGAGTAGATTAATGACTTTTCTTCTATTGTGCCAGTGCGAACAGCCGACTACTTGGATGGAAAATTGTATGACTATTTACCGAATGACTTTTGTGTTGCCGTTTCATTTGGTAAACAAAAGAAAACACAGCTGACATCTTATCGTCGTTTCTGCCACTGTTAGAACAATATCGATTATACTGATATTGTTAAATAAATTCATTTTTGCGGCTTCCTGCAAAGCAGCTGCAAACGATGTTGAAGCAAAGTTTGCATTTTTAAGCGAATTTATGCATGGCTTGCGGCCCATTTTTAATTTTTATGCAAAGGACTTCTTAAAGTCATCTTATATTGACGTTTTTTGTTTCTTAGGTTGAATAATATTAGTCTAGGTTGATTGCCAAGAATTTTCTCGTAATGTTTTAGCCTCACACCATCAATAAAACTAACTAATAACGTAATGACTTAATCGCAGGGTTGGAACATTATTTATGGAAAGTTCAAAAACTCGGATTTCCTTAATGGACTTTTTAATCAAAATAGATCGCGAATTTCCTACATTTACGATGGTAGACAGCCAGAAATTAGGCTTTTATGGCCCATTATCGTTTCTGCTAATGGAAAAATCGTTTTATCTCTTTGTGAAAGAGTTTTTTGTTTGTTTGATGGTTTGCTTTCACGCTTACTTCATTAACTTCTGCCCCCCTTAAACGCTTTTTTGCCATCGAGAATTTGTTTTGAATTTCCGTGCGATAAGTATCACGGCCTTAATAGGAGAGCTTATATTTCTGGCCAATCATACATTCACCATTTTGTTGGAAATGTAAATACATTTAAGTGTTGTGCAAAAATATTCTACTCTGTCAGCGGGGATTGTATGAAGAGGCAAAAAAAATATCATCCTGTCTAAATATCATACTTAAATGATCTCAGCTGGCTACTTGAGTGGCACAATTCCCTCAGACTTGTCATTTTCAAGGCAAGTATTTATTTTTTTAAAAGGGAACAAGCAAAATAAAAGAACAAAGAAAAATGATAAAAGAATATACCTCTGATTTATTGTGTCAGAATCTTTTATCTGTTGTTTGATTATATCTGCTGATTTTCTTTTCATCCCAGGTTTCATTTGGTGTCATTCATTATTTATCATATCATCTCTTTCCTTTTATCATCTTGAAAACCAGTGTACACAGTTTTTTTTTTATCACAAATAACATATTACTTGAGTTTGATTAAGCTTGACTTTCTAAATTATGCTAGTGAGATATGATGTGGATATCTGGTCTATAACAGCTGAAGGGAAATATTTATTGCCATCCTCCATGATCTCAGGTTTTGAGTTGTTATTTATCACTTCGATGTGGCATCACAGCATGGTCCAATCACCCTACTGGGATTTGATAGGGGAATCACCTGGATTGCCCTTATTACCAATTTAATTACCATTATTTGCCCAATAGGTGGTATGTAAAGGAAGGCAACTTTCTCAAAGTGAATATTTGACTTTGTTGGGGGTAATCTCTGAGATGAGTTTTCTCAATTATAGTACAGGATATTAACAATTTCAGTGTGAATATCAAGTGATGAATATATCGTGGATTAATTTAGAAAATTCTAGAAATTTATTGATTTTAAATGTAGCATTTGTGTGGACTTTTTAAAGTGTTTTCTAGATGGCTGTGTTTATTTATTTATTTTTTTTTTTAATGACACTTGCTCTTAAGGGTATTTTGCATTTTCAGTTAGAAAAAAATATTTATTTAGTTTCTATCCAGTTCTATCTGTGTCTCAATCTCGAATTATGTGAAAGTCACAATTTGGCTACTCTAAATCCTAAAACTTTTTCTAGAAATGACATTTCAGTTGCTATGAAAAATAAAACAGTGTTTGGGACAGACTGTGCAATACAACATGACATACTATACCATGACCACACTTCTTGTGTCTGTATAGAAAGATACTCACCATGGCAACTGAAAGGGGGCTGCTTGAAGATGCAGTGGGATTCTGATTTATATTTTGTAGAGCATAATGGTTTTGGTTTGTAAACAGAAATTACAACTTTCACTTAATCTGGTATATGAGAAGTTAGTTTCACTGTCAATTATTTTCTTGCAATAATCTCCGATTAAACAGCTGACCTGTTTGGCTGACTGACTAATGCCATGACTGTCTGATTGATGTTGGACAGAAAATGGGAGAGACAGGTACATGGTTGAACAGAATCTGTTTTGCCTACTGACTCTGGGGTTGATTGACTGCCTGACTGACTGAATGATAATCTNCCCTGCCGTCCTGACTGTCTGCTCGGCTGCCGTCCTGACTGTCTGCTCTACTGCCATCCTGACTGAGTAACAGCTTGACTTGCTGACTGATGACTGGCTAACAACTGTCATACTGTATGACTGAATGACAGGCTTCTGGGATTGATTGGGTAACTGACTGAATGTCAGTCTTTAAACTTACTGACTGAGTTCCGGACTAATTGGGTGACGGCTAACTTATGTCCAATGTGGAACTCTTCAGACAAAACTATTTTACCCTAAAAATGATCATTATTTTTGACAGAGGTTTTTTATTATTATTTTCAGAGGATATTTTTATCTACAGAATGATCAGAGATCTGCCTCAAAGGATGGTAGTAGGGACCTTAAGCAGTCAGGACGGCAACACCAAGGAAGACTTCAATTAAAAAATGAATTTCTACTCTTAGTTAAAATTTTAAAAATGGCTGCATGAGCCTACTGTCTCATGCGACGCCACAGCTCAACTTCAGCATGACGTATAAAAGCAGTGTTGAGTTCCAAATGGAAATTAAAATAATTTGCCGTCGCAGTTTCGGTTTGCAGACGATGCAAATTTTAGCTATTTCACGTTGTTGTTTTGCATAGGACGGCTAAGAAATGTACAAAGTTTCAAAATGCACGTGCTGAGCTATTGTCCTGCCAATTAGATCTCTTGTTTTTCCACATCCTCGTTGCCGTCGCCGTCGTGGTTGCTTAAGGTCCCTAATATTCCCTGGGGACATAAATTTACTTCATAATTCATGTTTTGCAGGGAACATTAATGGAGATCAGAAAGAAAATGGTTGGTTTGGAGTCTCTGTCATGAGTGAAGGGCATGATGCTAATGTTATGGTAAGTAAATTAAATCTGTTAAATGGCAATCTGGTTACACCTGATACATCACAACCACAAATTATATTCATTTGGCCAATTTCATGAGCCAGGGAAATAAAGCCAATCCTCAGTTTTGATTGGTACATTTTATGGTATTTCTTCCTTTGTCTTGGTAAAAAGTGCCAATGTTGTGCCTGCCAAAGAAAACTCATTCAGAAAGTTAGCTTTTTGGCAGCAAATTAAATTGTATGGATACACCAATTATACAAGAACTGAAGAGAGACAAGCTTGACAGAATTTGGATGAAAATGAAACCCCTGAAATATCCTTCAGGGCAGATGAAGTTTCGCCCAATGATATCAAAATATTGTATCTTGGACGCCATGATTAACCACCCATTCGCCTTGAAGTGAACTTTTTTTCAACTTCAAAAATATCCCAAAAGTTTTTAAGAGTCAGATCTTTTTGTTCCTTTAGTCAACTTACAAAAATTATTAAGAGTATCATTTTACATGCATATTTCACAATTTATTTCTAGGCATGCTCTCATCGACTACTTCATATAGAAGGATCTTTTTATACCTACCCGGGTCGTTGCTTAAGGGCAATAATTGATGATGGAAATCCATTTAGGACTAAGACACAGGATTACTGTGAATTAAGGAATCAAAGTAAGTTCATTTGCTTCAAGTTTCAACCCACCCTCATGGAACCAAACTTATTTAAGGCTCTGTTTAAACCACAAATTTTTTGGAGTTATTGGATGAAGTCAATAATTTTTTTTATGATACAATATAATTTCTCCTTATGGTGTCAAGAGCATTTTTCAAAGCAAAAATTTGTAAAGGTTGAGAATGACAAAGTAGTGTTTTATCAAGAAGTCATTATGGTGTTCAGAATGTTTTGTTTGCATTGCGTGACAGCTCATGATGAGTGTGACTTGGCGGCCTCACCTTATTCAGATTAGTTTACCATGTGCAGAACGTTTCTATGACATGCTTTGTTTTTTTGTTGTCGTAAGAAGCAAGTGAAATTGTTAGCATTAAAACTGGAATTTCAGAGACCTTGTGTGCGTTAATTTGGTGTCACAGAAAACGTTTTCCACATTATACTATAGCAACAAATTCCCATAAGCTAATCTGCAAGGATGTGTAAGTTAGCTGTGAATGAGTTGGATTGAAAATTCTTCAAAAAGTCACAGAAATTGTTCAACTGCAGCAGATTAGGATAGTTTTTAGTTTCTTAACAAATGCTGTTGGTGGGTTGGTCACTTTTTCAGTGGGCACTGTGGAATCTTGGTTGTGAGGTCAATGTCCCAGCCCTGATTACCAGGGGTAGGTCAATGTGTTGTGTTCTTAAGCAAGACAGTTTACTCTCACAGTGTCTTTCTCTGCTCAGAAGTGTTAAATGTTTTAGTTGCGGTAAATTGCCACGGAAACTTGCTGGACTGCTCAGGTTAGGGGGTGTACAGTCTGTGATGGAGTAGCATCCTTTCAATACTTCAAAAATAATATTGTTTAGATTGCCTCATCCAAACAGAGGATTTAGAAAATTCTCAACCACAGTGTTTTCATATTCCACGATTGTCTCAGAACATTTTGCTATCCCCTCCCCCACCCCTGTCNGATTTGTATACTATCTTGGGGGCGTTTTTTTAATAAAACAATTATTCCACTCGTGTTTGTTGGGTCTGAGATGATTATAGCCAACTTGGCGCTATGCGCCTCATTAGCTATCTATCATCTCATATCCAACACACACTCATGGAATAATTGTTAAGTATTCCCCTTGACTTTGTCTCTGGGAATATTCACCAATATTCATGAGCGTGAGGCGAATAATTGTTTAAGTAAAATTACTCAGGTGATTACAGCAATGAGCAAAGGAATGTTAAATTTTATTTGTCATTGTCACGCGTCAGTGAACAACTGAGTGAGAGCCACTTGCACAGACAACAGACTATTTCTGTTGTAAAAAGTCCCTTCTTTCCTCCTGACTGAGACATAAAATTTTGACAAACATTTATTCATCTCGTTGACCTCCATTGCTTCAAAGTCAGTGGTAAATTCGGTTTGTTGTTGAAACCATTCTGTTAAGTAAATTAAGTGTTGCAAAAATTTAATGTAGTTTTGAATTATTCAAGCATGTTGACATAAGTAAAATTTTCACGGGAATTTAAATGGTTTCTTCGTTATACTTAGCACAATTTTCACACCTTACCTTTGAAGAATGTCATTCCAAACTTTGTGGCATGTTTGTTATTCCTTGGAATGGCATTTTCTTTCATTAAATTAATTTCCTCTTCAGACACGTCGACAAAGCACAAGGTGGCCATTTTGAAAATTTGTCCTCCTGCTATAATCACCTGGTGGGAGGTGATTGTAGCGGAATATGATGCCATTCTCGGCCAATAAGAGCACGAACATTTCTATAATCACCTGAGCAATTATACTAATTATATATATTTATATATATAGCTGCAATATTTTCTTTTACCTTTGACCTATTTTCCTTTAAGTTAACCTATACATTGGAAAACAGTACAAAAAAATAATAATAACAACCATGACACATTGGTTATTCTTACTTAGAGTATATGTTGTAGTTCAATTTTATCCTTGGTTCAAATTTTATTTTCCTTTCCTTCAAACTCATTATCACACATTAACATGACCGAGAACAAAGGAAAATAAAATTTGAACCAAGTAGAAAATTGAACTACAACACAATTTGTATACATGATGTCTTAAATGTTGCAGCAAGTTGATGATCAGGGGAATGTTGAAAATGTACCGCTAATAGGAGCTCCTGGAGTGTACAATTATCAAGGTTTGGTTCTTTCATTTTTGGGAAATGATCATTTGATATTTGTCAAACCAGTGTTAACCCTTTTATTAGCAAGATCTCATAATTAATTCTCCTTTCTGTCTGCCATACAATTCTTATTATGTTACTTTGGAGAATTTGGTATTGGATCAAATTGTTAATCTCATAGTTGCTATTTTTCTTTATTCTCATCACTTGTCTGTTTGATAATTTATTGTATTGGTATTGTTAGGAGAAATTCTGTTTTGGTCACTCATGGGAGATAAAAGGTTAAACAACTGACAAAAATACAGTTTTCCTATCGTATTTCTAGCTATTTTCATTGCATGGTTAAGACAGAGTTCTTGCTGTGCTTTTCAGTCCACAGACAAGCAAGTGATCTCTTGGACACTCTCTTCATTTTGTTTTGCGTAACTTATTTGATTGAGAGTAACGCATGAGGAAATTCATGCATATGAATCATAAAACTGATTTGTAGCCAGACCACAAGGCCTTTAGTTAATGCCAGCCTACTTTAAACGAAATGATATGAAGAAAATAAAAAGAACATGCTCACCATGACAGAAAGTACATGTTTCTTTTTTTTTTTGTTCCTTTTTTCAGGAGAATTTATTTATTATAGTAGAGAACAAATGGAAGTCTACAAAGGCAACAGTCCACATGGATATCAAGGTACACTGAATTCTATCTTCTTTTTTTCTGGCCCTTTGTCTTGGTTGCAAGACTCTTGAAATAGCTGTGACAGGGTATTAGGATTTTTTTATGTTCTGGTATTGAATATAGGTACATGATTTTCATTCTTGTTACATTTTATTCCTTGATTCATTTATTTGTTATCAAAAGATCTAAAAAACATCGTAAAATCAGCCTAGCCTTGCTTCTACATTAAGAGGATCATTTCCCAATACTTCATGACCATTGATAAATCAAAGCTAGATGCTTATTCTAGTCACTTACAAGTATTTACTAAGTCCAAGAAGAGGCAAAATGGGAAAAAAAAATTATTTGTTGTTTGTATCTTTGCAGGTTATGCTCTTGCCCAGGGAAGCTTTTTTAAAGCAGGCAAAAATGGTTAGTTTATCTTTACATGTAAGTTACCCCTTCTTCCAAGCATTCATCTTTTGACAGTAACTACCTCTCCCATCAAGAAATGAGGATATTGATTAAAGTAATTTATTCACATAAGGAGGTAACATCAGACCATCTTTCTTTAATTTAAAACAGTGTTCCAAGCTGCAACCAATTTGATATCCATAGCAGGTAGAAAAAAACATGTGGCAATTAAATTTACATATTTGGAATTCTGGTTCACTTTTGTTTTCAGATGTTGCCTCTGGTGCCCCTAGATTTGACCACCATGGCATGGTAAGATAATTTATTTCATGAAAAGATGAAACAGTTTATCATCAACAGAAGGAAATAATGTAGAGTGTTTCTGGATAAAGACTTAACAGCTTGGCATGTCGCAATTTTACTAAGTCAAAGTCCTAATATTACTCAGGGACTGGTAATTGAGCCATCAAAATTTTTTTGATTCTTTTGTTTTTGAATAAGTATATGTTTTTGTCCATTCATAGAAAACTTTAAATTGCTTTTCAAAATTTAGTCTTAAAATCCATCAAGTTACAAATCCATTGTTGAAGGTACTATGTCTAGGATTTAGTTTTATTTCAAATTCTTTGGATACTTCCTTGAGTTTGAAATTAATAGAATTTTGAGACCAGGCTTTTAGTCGATGTTACTGTTAAAACCACTCCCCTACAACTACCAATCAATTAAATTTTATCACTTAATATAATATCAGTTTATTGATGTCTTAATTAATTTGTCCGTTGATTTCATTGTTAGTACATTTTTGTTTGTTAGGTGGCAGTTTTTAGGGACTTAGGTTCAGGAAAGTTCCAGAAAGATCCGAAAGTGCTCCTGCCCCCTGTTGAAGATGGTTCAGACAACAGACGTCAACCTGGAACAGGATTTGGAATTGCTTTGTGTGCTGAGGACCTTAACAATGATGGGTGAGAGATCTGTTCACAATTTTGTCGTCACAGTCCAAAGCTAATAACCCTTTACACACTAACATCACTGATCCTGATGTGTTGCTACAAATCCACTGTATCATAAAAATAAGTTGAGATAAAAAATAATGATTCACTCACTTTGGAAGTTGGTAACTCATCTTTGAATGACATGGCTTTCTTTTTCAGGCTTTCAGAACTTTTAGTTGGTGCACCATTCTACTCTGACGATTTATACCCCGAGCAAGGAAGAGTTTATGTGTATGAATATAAAGGAAGTGAAAATAAAGGAAGTGAAAATAAAGGAAGTGAAAATTTGGTTCTATCTCACAAACTGCCCATCGGTGGAAGGAAGGATCGGTGGAGAGGGAATTTTGGACGCGCACTTGCTTCTGTGGGTGATATTGATCTTGATGGATATCAAGGTATGGTTAACATTCCAACATCTGATAATAAACTCCCCCTTCTACTATAATTTTACTTCCTTGTAAATAAGTTCAGAGAATTTAGCACAGTGTAGCTCATCAGATTATGATCTCCTATCACTTGGTTGCACAGATGATACATTGATATAGCTAGTAGAAGTTCAATGTACATTTTAAAGTTTGACTGTTACTTACAGCATGATTATTAAATAATTTTTTTGCCAGATGTTGCTGTAGGGGCACCATACGAGGATAGTGGCGATGGTACAGTGTACATCTACAGAGGCTCAGAAAAAGGTCTTGTTGAAACACCAATGCAGGTGCGTGTGGTGATAAAGTCACTGAAGCCATAAATTATTTAAGTTAAGCAGCAAAATGCTCGTCATAATAAAATTATAACTTGAGAAGCCTGAAATTGGCAAACAGCTGATCATTGTAAACTTCAACAAGATTTTTCCATACTGTTGCAATGCTCCACCAACAAGAATTCAACACAAACCCTTAAACTGTGAACCAGTTCAAAATAATTGTTACAACAGACTCAGCTTGTCTTTCAAGGGAACCGTCTTTTTTTCTAAAAAGCAGCCATGTTCTGTTTGTAGGAGACATTAATAGCACTATGAAAAAAAAGAAATCAATGCCCTAAATCAAATAAAGGAAAGGTGTTGATTTCCCACACAAAGACATTTCCAATTAATATTGATAATTGTTGTTATTGTCAATAACTTAAAGGTTACTTTTGTTGATACATGTAGGTTATCAAAGGTTCTTCTGTGTCACCGGGTATTCAATCATTTGGATATTCCATTGCTGGAATACTTGACTTGGATACTAATGGTTATCCAGGTGAGGTTCTAGTCTTTTGTTAGAATTACCTTTTTTGTATTGTTTTGATTGTTTGTTTTTTTGTTGTTGTAATAATTAAATGTTCAAGTTTGACATGAATTTCAGGTCAAAATAGTTTCAAACTGGTGTCATTTTCTATGTATGTTACCATAATGATTGTTTGTAACAGGAGAAAATTAATAATTAAAATACAGATTTAAAAAGTTTGAAATTCTTTTATGTACTAATATGTGTCGATGCAATTGTAAAAATTGGTTCTTTCAGTGTGGAGAATGTCAGAAAATGCTGATGTGGAACCTGCTATGATCACAATAAAAAAAAAACTAATGTTAAAAAAAAATTGATTTTTTAAGATAGAAACTAATAAAATTGAATTATCATCATATCAATGTATCAATTGAAAATGTGTGTAAATGAAATCATTTTGTATTTTGTTTTTTGTTTTTTTTGTGTTTTGCAATAACATCAGTCTTCTCTAAACCTTAATAATGATTCATTATGGTTTAATTTTCTGTATTAATGTTTCAGATGTTGTCATTGGAGCTTATCAATCAGATACTGCAGTTCTCCTCAGGTATGTCAATAAAGGGATTGATGGTTAGTTACATGATGGCAGCCAGTCTGTTGCAAAAGACCTTTTTCCTGGAAGGTCAACATAGTGGAATCTTTTTATGACCTAATCACAGTGAATGAATTTTTTTGTTTGTTTTTCAAAAAGTTTTCCCTTTCACCTTTTTTAACTTCACTGAACTCCTTCCTCTTACCTAACTAAGAGCTGAATCATGCATGCACTTGGTCAGTTGTTAGTTATGATCTAGTGGAGGACACAGGAATAGATGATTGTTTGCTTGTTTATTATATAAAACAAATAGATTCCATATTGCAGTGGGTCTGTTGATCTGCTACAGAATGGATGCTCAGTAACATGGTGTCTTTGGCTAATTAAGATATTGGTGGTGGAAATCACCAGATGTGAGCCATGGTCACTCAAAATCAACATGCTTAGCATCAATCATTGTCATTTTCAGTCACAACATAGATCTTTGGCTGCATTATTATCAAATTAAACTATTAATACTTTTTTTCTACAGGTCAAAACCAGTCATTTCAATCTTGTCAAAAATCACAATCTACCCAGACACATTTGATATCAAGGGCAGAAATACCTGCAATCAAACTGAACGTGAAGGAAATAAACAATTTGCCACATCTTGGTAAGACAAGGTTCCAGGGCTTGAAATAATTTCCTGGCTGGCTCTGGTCAAATTGTCCAGTCGATCCTGTTTTTGCTAGGACACAACCCATTTTTGGCTGGCCAAACTTTAATTAGATCTGAATGCTGTAAAAGTGTTCCCCCTTGGTGTGATAATTCGATATGTTTAAATACATGCAGCAAGTAAAATATCTGTGTTCTTCCCTTCTTTGTTCACAAACCCCAACATTACTGAAACTAAAAAACTTGAAACTTTTTGTAAGTTTTTCCTCATCAGTGTAAATGACTGCACAAATTGTGCGGCCATCTAAAGATTTGACCGGACAAAACTTTCTTTGGACAGGACAAAGTCTGTTGATCAGCAATTATTTCAAGCCCTGCGCTCTGAGATAAACTCTTAAAATTCTTTTTAATGAGCCCTAGCTTTGAACATTGTGGAATGGTTAACAGTCACACTAGGTTTAAGCTTATATATAACACAATACATATGAAGTTAGTCATTGCTATCAAAAACTTTTTTTTTTGTATCTGTTGAACAGTTACTTTCAACATTCTTCTATTCCTTTTCTCTTCTTGCAAACAGCTTTGACATTAAAGTTTGTACAAAATATACTGAAAGATCTAGGAAAGTGAAAGAAAAAATAGGTGAGTTAGTGGGCTGAAAGTAGTTTGAGTTTGTGTAGGAGAACTTTCCTCAGCAGGGGTGTTTAAATTGTATCTTGTCATTGTGCAAAATAATTTCATCTTACCCTTCTTCTCTTGCAAAAGGGTAATATATATATCTTATTAACCAAGTGCAAGGGCTGTACTGAGAGAATATTGGCCTGAGGTCTTGACAGTACAGACCGAGTCCGTACAAAAAAGATCAAGGGCTGATATTCTTCCAGTACAGTCCCGAGCAAGCTTGGTTAATAAGAGATTTATTATGCGACTGAAATTCAAAGGGACACAAGTGTGGTATCATTCGGGACCATTCAGGATAGTGCCCGGTCCAATACTTATAGAATATTGGACTGGCAATAGAGCATTTTGATTGGTTGATTTTAGTTATTGGCCCTCTGCCCAAGTCGTGTAATATTGAATGGTGTAAGATTTGTCTTGAAAAGCCCTTTGAAATGCAGGTGTAGATACTATCCAGGAGAAATATTGCTGCATGTGATTTCAATCTTTTCCCTTTGTCTTATCATGTAGGTCACAAACTCCTCCTGTATTTCAACAGCTACAAGATGTCTTTTTTAACAAGAGGAAATATGTAAAAATTGTTCACCCAAACCAGCATACTGTAGAAGCAGGATTAAGAATTTACATTTCCCAACTGTTTGGAATACATTAAGAATATTTCAAATTATTTGTTAAGTCGTTTTTGCAAAAGATTTGGTTTTTGTCATGCAAAGTAAGTTCTCCCCAACAACAGTGCATCTATGAAGTCAAGTGTGAACTGTAAGTTATGATACACTTTAGGTAAACATGAAATCTTCTGTTTCTCCAGATGTGCTGTTAATTATGAAGTCTGACACAGATCCTGAGTGGGAAGCAGACTCAAGAGTTTTGTTCCAAAAGGATCAGAAAAATGCGATTAATCGGACAGAGTTAATAGGTGGCAATGATACTTGCTTTTACTGGTTTGCTTATATAAGGGTGAGTGATGATTTTGTTTGAGTGTGGTTGTTGTCACGTTTTCTTGGGTACTATAATTATCATAGTATGACCTTGAAAAGGGTCACAAAGACCAGGTATTTGCTTGTGACAACTTACAATGGACTTATATGTCTTGACATTGAAAGCTGATGTAAAATCTCACCTTGGTTTTCAGGAAGGGGTGACTGATGCAGATGTTTACCCTGACATCCAGTTTACACTGACTTATCAGATTGTGAAAGAACCAACACCAACTGTCAGTAGCCCTACAGATGTACCATCTCTTGTCCCATTTGCAGTTTTTGATCCCTTGAAGCCACAGCAAGCAACAGCAGTTGTAAGGGAGCTTTTACTAATTGGGTCATGAATAACTCTTCTGGGTTAAGGGAAAGTTAGTGAGTGCTTTGGAGGCAGGAACAATTGTGGGATACAAGGAAAAAATAATCTCTGCTGTTTGGGTCAGTTAGAGCTTGTCCTTACAGTTTTTGTTGCTAGTTTGCATGTAGGTCTGCAAGTAGTAAAAGTGAATTGTTTCAGAATCAGTATTGCCTTATTAGTTTTTTTTTTTTTCTTTTTTTAGCTTTCATTCAAGAGAGACTGCAAGAAGTGTGTTCCAGATTTGAAAATTGATGTCAGTAACAGTAAAAAGTGAGTTTTTTTTTTTAAAGGAATAACTGAATCAGATGTGTTCTTGAAGTCTTAAAACTGGAAGATATTGGTGAAAAATAGACACTTATCAATATAATTCTTGACCACATGTTACATGCATTTTTATCGATAAGGTTCCATACAAAGAAAGAAAACTGCAAAAAATATGGAGGCCGTCATCTAGGCATTTTGACCAAACAATAAGGATACCAAATACATTCAACAACTGAAAGTTTTCCTTTGTTTTTGATTAAAGAGGTATTTGGGAGTTACTTTAATTTCCAGCCATTTACCCGCGGGTAATCTGTTGATTTTGCCTTAAACACACGCCACTGCGGGTAATAGGGAGGTGTGGGTTATATGACAATTTTGAAATCTACTGGCAGTGGCATTGAAAAAAATTCTCACCTACTACGTTTCCACCTCTCAGATGAATTTTATTGTATTAAGAGTGCTACAAAGCGGCATGAAAACATGATGCCGACTCAAGTTTATTTCACGCACAATTAGTTACGCGACGAACAAATTTTTATCGGCATGCGTGTAAACAAAACCTTGATGGTGACAAAAAATAATCCAAGGATAACTGGCGCATCAGTAACAAATTTCCTGTTAACACTAGCTTGAGCTGAAGAGAATTTTCTTGTTTTAAGGGACTTGTTAGGCCCAGTAGAACTGGAGATATCAATTTTTTTTTTTGGAGAAATCAACATAGCGCTGAACAATCGCTCGCACAAAATGTGGCCACAAATTCACATTCTGTCAAGAGTGAAACGTGAATTCTAGAGCCTTTTTGTACAAATTTCCTTTGCTTTTAAGGTGCAGGTTATCCACCAGTGCAGGTAATCCACCAGTGCGGGTAATCTGTTAACTTTTTTCTTGCCGCATGCAGTAATTGGCCAGTGAGGGTAAACGGCCATGCGGGTGAACGGCCGGAAATTACAGTAATTGTTGCTAGGAAAGTGTTTTTCTAAAGCCAATTTTCTTAGAAGCTAGTCATTGTGAACTGGCAACAGGCAATTTTTTCTTTTTCCAAAATCAAAGCATTTAATTTTAAATAGGCCCATCGTGCCTGCGTGTGCCCTCAATGACAACACTGCATTATTTTGTTTTGCCTTTCTGGTTTGCAAAGCTAGCCACATAATTGAAAAACTTAGTACATACAAAAGTCATGCATCTAATAATGGGTGTTGAAATTCATATTGATAACAATGATTTTTTTCCTTTTTGACACCATAGAACTCTTGCTGTTGGTGCGAAAAACTACAAGTTGACTGTCACAGTAAAGAATGATGGAGACGATGCCTATAATGCAAAGTTTTTTGTGACAATCCCCAGAGGAATGCAAATAGGAAAAATCTTCTCTGTTGATAAAGAAGTAAGCATTTAACGTTTTGACCCCTTAGAGTAATTAACATGACAAATAAACAAAATGAAATTACCAACTTAAGAAGCTCTCAACTGTTAACAAATTTTCCTTGTCAGCATGGTAGGAAATATATAGAGAAAACTGAGGAGAAAATGAATACTGATGTTAAGGTGTAAATTAAGGGTGAAGGTTACATGTTAAGCACTTATTATTTGGTTATGCTTATTTTCTTTCCAGATATTTAAAGGAAAAGCTGTTGAGGTAACAACACTGGCCTCCAATGACACATTTGTGACTGTTAAGCTAAATACTCCCTTCAAAAAGAAAGAGGTAGGGTGACACAAAGTATGTTGTATGTTAGATACGATCTTAATAAAACCATGTTATATAAAGCAGTCTTCAGAAGCTCTTTCCATCTCATGGAATGGAATTATGGTAATAACTCTTGATAAGATGCTGAACTTGTTCTAGGGCTTTGACAAATCATGGAAAATTGCATGAGCATATGAGTAAAAGAATCTTATACTAATTCACCTGTTATTGAGTTCTTCCTCCACCATGAAACATTAGAGAGGTGAGAGAAGTGGACACTGAGGTTTTTATTTTAACTGGTTTTGTTTGTGTTTCAGCAACCAATTCAAATTGTTTTAGACACCTCACGATACAGTGACACTCCAGATTTCCTACCAATACACCTTAACACAAACAGGTGAGGTGGATTTAACGCTGTTTTGTCGGTGGTATTCCTATGAAGAGTCTTTTTTTTTTTTATAATAATTTGACAACAGCAAATTGCCCATGCATGTGGGTTGCCCAGGGAGGGGGTAGGGGATGTTGAAGTTTCAAATTTATCAGTGCATTAGTTTGATAGTCATTTTCTTGGGTGCCATCATCATCATCATTGTCATCATCTGTTTACACCGTAGGTGTCTAAGGTGTAATTATAATTGATCATATATTTAGTAAATCAATGACAGGTAAATGTGAATTTTCATTGTTTCCCCTGCAGTACAAATGAAGAGGACAGTGACACACTAGCTGACAACAATGGCTTTTTGAATATCTCTATCAAGTCTCAAGCAGACTTGGAAATTAATGGGTAAGTTACTGTATAAAGGTGGGACAAGAAAATTCTTGTTTATCGCTGGAAATATTTTTGTGGTCAAGGAGAAGTTAACTTGTCAATCATTTTTGGTAGTTTATGACAGTACGATGTTTTTATCTGTTGAAGTACAACGGTTGAAGAACAAGTTGCTTATGGAGGCAAGGTTGTCGGCGAAAGTGCTATGGTTCGTGCAGAAGACATTGGGAATGAAGTTATACACAAGTACTTTGTGAGTACTTTTATATTTCATTGTTTTCTTATTAATGTCAGTAAACTTTAAACAACTGACTTCTCATGAGAATGTTTAGTGTGGTATGTTCAACCACATGGATGAGCAATATGTTTACGTATGCAATCCAAAAGACCATAAGTGATGCCACCTTCACTTCATTTCATTTGGTTTTCTTTCTTTTTTAGCAATTTCTGTCAATGGTGAGGGGGCAATTTCACTTAATGGGCACTTTAAAAGTCTCTCACTTGCTTTTTTATCAGACAACAGACTTATGCCTTCTGGGGTTTTGTGTCATGCAATTTGTATCTTTCCCAGACAAGCCCAAGAAAAGCCTTTATTTAATTGAACAATATCATTGTTTATTATAGTTGGGCTAGGCAGCCTAAAAGAAAGCTGCATAATTACCTGTAAAACGCTTGGTCCATCACTATTGTGCCCTGTCAAAGAGCTAAATTGTTCTCTTTATTCTAACTGAGAATTCATGGCTGGCATAAAGGATCATTTCAAATTTGTTTCTGTTGCTGTGAACAAGTCATTCGACTTTAATTACTGATTGCGATTTTGTAAGGAGCAATTTGATTATACAATAACTATACTTTGGATTTTTTTAGGTCAAAAACCGTGGTCCAGACCCAGTTCCCTTGACAGAAGTAATAATAGAGTGGCCTTTTGAAGCAACTAGTGGAAAGCATTTACTTTACTTGGTGAATGTCAAGGTAAACGTTTCTCCTATTTTGCTGATGTGTGTTTTCTTTATTAAGACTTCTTTATTAAGAGTTTGTTTGTAGTAGCTATTGATTGCTTTAGTCTTATGGGCCACACTGTTTAAAAGGGGTTAACTTTAATCTAGGATTAAAAGTTAACATTGGCTTTAATTTCTGGTGTAAAAGAGCGTGCATAAGCGCTAAGGTTTTGGTGGAGTTTATCTCAATATGACTCGAAACTAACTGGAAAAAATACATAGAAAAACTCCTTTGCAAAGCTATCAGCTAAAAGTGAATTAAATATTTACACCAAGCCTGGCTTAGGTTAATGGTGTTTTGAACGACCCGGTGATGAGTTATTACTGCTGATCTGTCTGCTAATCTTTAACCCCGTCCCACTCTTAACCTTCCATTTGCCAACCCCACCTTCCAGAATCAGAGCAGAGTTTGCCAGTGGAGAGACACTGATGGAGCCAAGTGTTTCACCCAAGGACCTATCTTAATGAATCTGGCGTTGGGTTATGGTAATTCTTCAGCCACCATGTCTCCTTAACTCCAGCTGATAGAGCTGAACAGACAATAATTATGATGTGTTTTCTCTTTTTAGGTTGATGGAAATAGGGCTTCTTGTAAGAAAATCCCAGGGCAACTGAATATGCTTGGTTTAGAGGTAAATGACAGAAAATAAAATTTGACTTCTTTGTACTTTTGTAGTGTTAATTGCTTCTTTTTATCAGGATTTGTCAATCTTAAATGTCAGATGTCGTAGGGTAACACGACTTCAGCAACAGCTCTTAACCCTTTCACTCACAAGATCTCGTTGATAAGTAATTCTCCTTACTCTCTGCCACCCATTGCTTTAAATTTTAGTTTTGAGAATTAAGTGTTGGATCAAGTGGCAGTCTCATAATTGATATTTTTCTCTATTCTCATCACTTGTCTGCTTGAAATTGTATTGATATTGTAATGAGAAATTCTGTTTTGGTCACTCGTGGGAGTTAGAGGGTTAAGTGAAGGGAGTAAAAAGGGGGTTCTTCATAACTTTCATGCACTTCAAAAAGTAGAAATGATGCATCATGAAAAATTGGATTAACAACTTTAAGGTTCTTGTACCACGAAAAAGCAAAAATTCAAATGATTTTCTGTGGTCATGAACCTCAAGGTTAAAAACACTTAATCCTGTATCATGCAATAAGCTTGTTTTGCAAAATTTATGGGCCCTACTGGGCTTTGGATTTCATTTACAAATGCTGTTGAGAAGTGTACAACTATTTTAATTTTTTATCATAGCTCTCACAAATATGTAGCTCTAGAAAGATGTTAAAAAGTAATTATTATTATATGCATGATGATGAACAGCATTCATAAGGAGGAGAAAAAAGTGAACGTTTTGTAGTTTTGATGGATTTGAGATGTTGCCATGGAGGGCTGGTCCTTATCATGTCACATTTCAGCACTATTTTCTTGGTTAAATATTTGTGGATAACGAATTGAAAGTGGTTCCCATAGTAGAGCCCTGCTAACTTGAACTCCTAGCGGAAACAAGAAATGGTTTGAGTTAGCAGGGATTTGAGGTAATTGATAGTAAATGACTGAAAAAATGAGGTGAAGGGAAATTGGATCTTGTTCAAGTTACTGGGGGATTCAAGTTAACCAAGTTTGAGGAAGTGGGGTTCTTCTGCATTTAACTGATTGTGATTGATGTTTGTTGTAATCCTTTCAGACATCAGCTGGTGGCAGCTCAGGACAGCAACAGAATGACACTTCAGTTGATGCAATGGTAGAAAGAAGAAGAAGGCGTGATGTGGAAGACACAGAATCCAGCTCTAAAGTTAAACGAGAAACTGAACCTACTAAGCCTGAGAAGCTTCAGTCTGATCTGGTAACACTTTACATCTTTGTGTAGTGATCGATTGCTTTGCCATGGTGTTGTAGCCACAGAATTCATTGATCTCCAATTTTTTATGAACACTGTGGAACAGTAGAGAGGCAAGGATTGAAAGTGCGACTTTGGTGAAGTTCATCATTGCTTACTGATTTGTTTAGCTGTGTAGTGTTGTTTTAATTTTAAAATCAAAATAAGCTGCTGTGATTGATTCAAACATCAAATTAAGGTTATCTTGATGGTTGATTTTCCTTTTCTATAGGACTGCAAGTTAGGATTTGCAAAGTGTACGAATATACATTGCACCATTGAACGTTTAAAAGCTGATGAAGATGTGACATTTACAGTTATCTCACGTCTCTGGAATGGTACCATGATAGAAGTAAGCCACCGAAAAATAATTTGATACTTTTGATCATGATTACGTATAACATTATTTTTAGTTGACAAATGTTTTGGTCCTCACTGTGTGAAAATGCTTAGTTGTCCAGTCCTTGTTTTAGGGTAAAAAGCATCAACACTTCAATTCATAGAGGTAGTTTTAAATGGTTTGAGGAACCCCGGAACCCTGGTGTGCAGGATGGTAACACTTTGACACCCATGAGTGACCAAGAGAGAATTTCTCCTTACAATATCAATACAAAATCAATAAACAAGTGATGAGAATAGAAAAAAATATCAGTTAGGGGATTATAAGTTGATCCAACTCCAAATTCTCTAAACTAATATCATAAGAATTGTATGGCAGAGAGTAAGGAGAATCACTAATGAGATCTTGGGAGTGAAAGGGTGAACAACATTGATAACAGAGAAGTTGTGTTAACAAGACAGAGTTTAATAATAATAATAATAATAATAGTTAATCTTTATTGAGGATGCCAACATCACAAAAAAGGGGTTTACAGAGGGGTCCTCTAAAGGTAACTACATAAAATATAATTACTTAAAGATAAAAAGAAAAAAGTACATATCGAAAAATATGAAGATAAAACTACATTAATATGAAAATTAATATGCGAAAAACGAAACTAATTAAAATAGTGCTTTCTTGATACCACGCTTAAATTAATTGGCTTTTCCAAGTCATTCTTAACTCCCCATGGGAGTTTTATTTTGTTTTATTTTGTTTTGTTGTTTATGTTGGAGGTGTTACATGCAAAAAAAAAAATAGGAGAGTTTGTCAAGAACTTATGTTTTTATGCCATTTAGTTTTTGGCTGGAATTTGATGGTTTGAAAACCTCACATGTGAAGATGTGAGGAAAGAGTTGAAGTATTTGTTGTGACATTTTGTTTGTTGATTCAAATTGGGCCTTTTAAGTTGAGAGTTTTTTGAGGTTTGCTTTGTAAAACTGTCAGACCCTATTAAATACATGTAAATATGAATTCTTTTTATTTCATTTTCACTGTTACCTAGGATTATCAAGGTGAACTGTTAAGAGTAATATCCCATGCAAGTGTAAGATCAACTAATACTTATGTGCAAGAAACTAACAAGGAAAACAACAAAGCACAGGTAAATTAAAAACTGTACACAATTCTTGTATTGCTTTTCTTCCCATATGAGGTAACTTCATCACATATTACCCCACCCCACCCCCCCCCTCCCACATACACACACGCGCACACACACACACACACGTCTCCATCCATCCATACATGCATCCACACACACACACACACAGCATTGTATTTGACAGTTTGTTATGACCTGTTCATAACTTGGAGTAGGCAAAGTGTCTTGCTGAAGAACTTGACAGTGTGAACAAGGCAGAGCTTGAAGCTTGGGTGTAACCTATAGTGATCTTCTTTTTCATGACTGTGTTATTCAGAGTTCACATTGTGGCAGTATCACTTAAAATCCAGTCTTTGAACCTGAAAACTTGTATTAGCTCAGATTAAAGTTGTCAGTGGTATTTGCCTAGTTTTCTGTTGACCGCTATGGTTTTCGTCGCTCCATACACCCTGTTTCATCATCATGCAATGATTGACAGCTTGTGGAATTCACATATTGATGTTAGACTGTTTCAATCGTCCAGGTTGGTACTCAACTAAATCCAGATGTCAATGTTGCAGTACCTTCAAAGGGTCTCCCCAAATGGGTTATACCAGTCTGTGTAGTTAGTGCTGTTCTTCTCTTGGTGCTAATTGTCTTTTGTCTGTACAAGGTAAGTGAGCAGGGCATAACTGCTTTTCATCTTTTAACCCTTTACTCATATGAGTGACCAAAACACAGTTTCTCCTTACAATATCAATACAATATCAAGCAGACCAGTGATGAGAATAGAGAAAAATATCAATCAGGGGATCATTAGTTGGTCCAATACTAAATTCTCTTTACTATGATTATAATAATAATTATATGGAAGACAATAGAAAGAATCACTAAAATGAGATCTTGGAGTTAAAGGGTTATTAACAATCTAGTAAATTTTAGGTGAGAATACACAAAGAAGAAAATCTGTGACAAAATACTACTTGTTTATTACATGACTCGGGCAGTCAGAGGGCCAATAACTAAAATCAACCAATCAAAATGCTCTATTGCCGGTCAATATTCTCTCAGTATTGGACCCGGCACTGTCCCGAATGATACTACACTTGTTTCCATTTGAACTTCAGTCGTATAATAAATCTCTTATTAACCAAGCTTGCTCGGGACCGTACTGGAAGAATATTGGCCCTCGGTCTTTTTTGTACGGACCTCACTGCGCTTGGTCTGTACTCTCAAGACCTCAGGCCGATAGTCTCCCAGTACGGCCCTCACGCTTGGTTAATAAGATATATGTACTGCTTTCTCAAAAAGTCAGTTAGTACAGAGACAAAAACTCTCTCAATTGTCTCCATTTTAGGCATAGAATAGTAACACTGAACTGTGTCCCTGTTGTTTCTCAGACTTTTCACAAGTGCCACCCTCTTGGTTTTAAAACCCTGTGTTTATAAGATCAACACCATGGTTGCCATAAGCCATTTTACAGTTGTGTACTTAGTTGCCAAGCCTTTGATTTGGAGTGAGGCTGAAGGTGACCTTGTTGTGATAGAGACCAGTTAGCTTGACAACAAAGTAATTTACATTTGAAAAAAAGCAATGTCTGTATCATAACAAGGTCACCCTTAGCACAGATGGCCAGACTTCATGTCATCCAGTGATCAGTTCTCATATGATTGCTATCAGTGATGACGTGGTACTTGCTGCTTAACCTTTTTAAAGTGGTGTTACATTCCTTAAAATTATATATCAATTGCATTGCATTCTATCTTTTTTTCAGCTTGGTTTTTTCAAGCGGCAAAAGTTTGACAAGAATATTACTGACCCAGAAGAAGTTGACAGAATGTTGGATAATGGCAAGGGATATTATGCTTAAATTAAAACACAACAGACAGTTATCTCCTCAAAGTAGACTAGATTTGCAATCAGTATGGACAGAGCTACAGATGTGCATGGATACAACTTGTACTTATTAGGGTACGAGTTGAGCTAGCCTCCAAAGCTGTGGCATTCAGCGGCAAAAAGCTGTATCACTCACATGGCTGATGGGAGAGAATGAATTCTAAGAGGACCTGCACATGTGACTCTCTCTGTGTGCATCTATGCATGACTCACCAAAATCAAGTTTTCACTGAGCCTGATTTATAGACGTAGATGATCATGTAATTTATTTTTATCTTGTTTGATGGCAGTTGTCTATAAATCCATATTTAAGGTTGGCAGGTAACAAATTCTTGCCATTTCCTGTGCAAACATGAACCAACTTTGCTGTAAGCTTAAAAGCACACCTCAGCTTGGATAATACTCCAAAGAAACATTAGCTTTTAAACCTTTGATGCATAAGGGTGGTTTATGCATATGCAAGTATTGTGATATCTTAGAGCAGAGTTTTTGTTAGGAAATGTAGTGGTAGCAAGACTATTCTTTACATCTCAGTAGAAGACCAAAGAAACTTAGCCAGAAATTACCCTGATCCCTGATGGGTTGTGAAACACTGTGTAGTGAAAGCTACAGGAAGACACAGAAATTGCGAGAAGGAACAGAACAGACAAATGACTAAACATCAGTTGTGGTGTTATTAATATTACAACTGTTGGATCAACCTCAAACACTTGTGAGATTTGTGACTCCAGTATACATATGATCAGATGTTGGTGGAGAAGTAATTAATAAGATGTAAATTTTAACCTCAAATCACATACTGTTTTATGCAAAATTACTATTTTTTCCAGCTACAATTATTTAGACATTTGGCTTGTCTTTATCTTGTAAGGTAACTTTTCTTTGATACATTTTTTTAATGGGTGGGAACAAACTTTTTTACATATTGCCTTTTGCAAGCAAGGTAGTAAAATAAGGCAAATCACATAGTAATGCAGTGTTGTTTCAATCATTCTGTTTTAAAGGCAATGCACTTTTCAAAAGAAAATTATAAACTGCAAGGAAGGTTATGCATGTTGATATAAATCAAGTCTTATCTCCAGAAATATTTACTCAGGCTCGCATAGCATAATGTTACTTCTTAGTTAGGGTTTGGGTTGCTGAAAGAACAAATGATGCCAAAGATGGCACCTTCTATGGGGTTGGTTTTTGTCAACAACATTAACTTTATCTTCTTTAGAAACTGGGGGCTGCAGTCCACCCTCCTAAACCCCACCCCAAAGTTTAGGTTGTCCATAACCCAAGAAACAAGGTGATGAAATAAATAGTCAACTGGGAAATTGTAAAATGTGCGAAAATGAAGAGAACGTAATGCTTTTATTAACAGGGTTGTAACTAGAGCAGTGGGTGAACAAAATCATTTTAAATAGAACAGGTGAATATATAGTCAGTAAAATTTATGAAAGTGTACAAAGATAAAAGATTGTGAGCAATGTGATCACTTGCCATACTTAAATGCTTTTATGTCATTTCTTAATGAATGCTAAAGTATTACTGTATTTTTATTTTTGACATTTTTTCCAAGGTTGTTTTTCATAGCTGTTATTCGGGGTAGCTAGTTAAGGGTACATTTTGTTTGGCTTGGCATAAATGTTTGTTTACTTATCATCATAAGGTGTCTAAAGGAGCATGTTTATACAAAAGCTCATTTTCATTTTCTTACGCCCTCTGGGTGTCAGATTAGACGGATGCAATTTCACTGTATTAATGCCAGATTAGCTATATATATATTTTATTTTAGATGTATTTTTCACAAGATAACTAAACCACACATTGTTTGTAACTGTTAACAGGGTATATATATATATATATATATATATACTGGTATCTTACCTTGGAGATGTCTTCTTAAAATTTTGATAACATTTGTTTTACAGTTTCTCAGTTGGAATGATGAATGAAAGTAAGGGCTGTACATGAAGGGGCCATATTTAATACCAAACTTTTGTCTTAAGTTAACATTTAAGTCAACAATGTATTTTTTTAACCCTGTAACCATGATGATGATGATGATGATGATGATGATGATGAACCCCTAAGATCTGATAAAATCACAGTAAATCTCCCTTCTTTTCTCTATACATGTCTGTGAAATAGCTACAAGAATTTATTGTTACATCAAGATAACATTCTCTGGAAAATGAAATAGCAATCTCTGATCATGTGTTTGGTAGAATAGGTAATGAAATTGTGATTACAAGTTACTTGTTTTTCTCTTTCTGGGGTTAGAGGTCTAAGACAAAAACAAAAATTAAAGATTTAGATTTGCTCTATAAGAATGCACCTAATGCCGCATTTTCACATCAGTGGTTACTTAGATAAGACTTAAATGCTTTTGGGTGAAAACTCTGGCAAATAACATTGTTTAAATGGTTGCATTTACAAAATTTGAAAATATTAAACACACATTTCTAAAAAACAAAAAAAAAAGGTTAATAAAGTGTCATGTGTTTGAAAACCTTATGGGCACAGATCAGATCATTCCACCCAATTTTTTTTTTTTAAGGTGTTGTAACAGGGGAGTAGTGGTAAAGAACAAGAATATTCTACTCATATGAATAGAAAGAAGCTCTGGCTATCAAAATTTGGTAAGAGAATTCTGCACAATAGCTGCAGAATTATCAGACCTCTGCTGTGTTAGGAAAGCAATTTAGTCTCACTCCAAAGTCAATATTTGAAAGTTTGAAGCACAATCCATAAGCCATGTTGAGGGCATGCTACAAACTGACTCAGTGTCCCAGATGTGAGGCCTCTTTTCTGCTAGTGAATCATAGATGATGTACTGAGTGCATCTGTAGTGTTTAGTGGTTGGATTTGCATGGTAAGCAACAGGGGCCAAAGTGACAGGAGCCTTGTTAGATTCAGGAGTTCTGGGTAAACAGAGAGATCCATCAATATCTGGTTTCGGTTCACGAGATAAGATTCTGCCACCACCATGTTTGACCAACTGAACTAGATCCTCCTTTGAAGGATGAGGTGGAACGAATTCACCGCTGAAGAAAAACTGGCATCCATCAAATAAACTGGGAAGCTGGAAAATAAAATGAGAAATAAAGAGTTGTTTTGCAAACAACAATCCAGGTTGGTTGCCAAGGGAGAAGAGGTGAAGGTGGTACTGGCTATTGAATTTGATGTGGATTTCAATAAGTTTTAAAGTGCTGCAAGTTCCATAAATAGCTATCTTTTAATGGGAAAAGTTACTGACCTTATTCTATTTAAAAGTCAAAATGAAACTGGGGTAATCTTAACAGGTTTTTGAACTGATTTTTGAATTGTTGCCTTTAATTTTCTTAGCCATGATGTCCTTGATGTTCAAGTTGCAATCTAAGTCACTCTTCGCCACATTTTCATCATGGTTTTTCTATATTTTGGTTTTTGTCCTCAGTTTTGTTTTGTTTGATTTAATTACAACTATGGTACAACTCAGGCTAGCTAAGTACATAAACCACTTTGCTGCAACACATTTTTTGTCACTTAAAATGATTAAAAAAATCAAATCATTGTAACACAGCTCTTTCAAGATGTTGAATACAGTACACAACCAACCTGCTTTAGGGAATTAATGCGAGCCCTTTTGGGTGCATCAGTGGCAGCATCGCTGGTACCCTTAACCTCAAAAGGTGTTTCAGCTACCCAGATTTTTTGCTGCAAGCTTTCTAGAATCCCTGTATAGAAAATTAGCAAGATATATTAAAAATTGATTAGTTGGCAAGTTCTAGGTCAGTTGCCAACTCTAAGTTCCCAAGAAAAACAGGAAATTTCCCTTTAGCAGGAGTGTAATAATTGTAATGATTTATTATGTACATTTGCTGTTAAAAGTAAGATCCAGTCACCCATGCTGAAGTACTCTTTCTCAGGAAACATGCTTCATATACCCTGGAGACACTGTGTGTGCGTGAGTGCATGCACGTGTGCATGTGTGCGTGCGTGTATGCATGTAATAATAATAATAATAATGACTTTATTAGTAGTACTTCCACAAGGTGGCTCTTCGCCTACTAATGACCTAGCTACAGGAAGTTATTACAAAGAGAAATCAAACCAAACCAAAAAAAAAAAAAAAAAAGGTTACAATAAGATATGTACAGTTCAAAAAAAAAAAGCAGCATGGTTAAAAACAATGATAATCAGTTATATGCATGAAACAAGTAGAGGTGTCTGCCTAGAGCATTCACTGTGTGCCAAACAAAACCTTTTCCAGTTGATGTAATGAGTCATGGACTTACATTGATACTTCACAATCCATTTTCCAGTTAACAAACCATTCAAGTACTTCAGTGTCCTTGGACAAACTCCTTTGTTGTTAGTTGTCGTCACAATGTGTGTCACTAAACAAACAGAAATAATATGAACAATTTAACTTTTGATTATAACAATTAGTCTTGCTGTATAAACACTTTGTAATCAATCTTTGGAAACAACAGACTTTGGAGGTACACTTAACTCACCAGACAGAGAAAATTCGTTTACAAGACTTGCATTGAGGGTCCTTACACGTTTTTGTATATTTACCTACAGAGATGGTAAATACAATCAGTATATGCTAGCACTAGATGCTATCACGACACTGCAACCAAAGATTATTGTCAGTTGTAACAGAATCCACACCAGTGAGAGACTTTTCAAATGTGTTGGGTTGATTTTCCAGTCAAGCACAATTACATACTTAGCAAAGTATCCGCGCCGACAAAGGGCTAACACTCGAAATGTCAGCTTTTATAATCGTAATGGTGGCCAATTTACCATTTCAACTTTGTTGATATATTCAAATTAAATAAATGATACCTTTTGTTCTGAGCTAAGACCAGTTGCAAGTAACACCTTATGGGAATCTGATAAACCCTTCACATCTGGAAGTAGTGGTACTGTCGTTAAGGAGCCAATTTCCTTGTAAGAAGTTGATGTTGATAAAATGGACACCAGTTCTTTTGTGGCTGCATAGTCTATTGGAAGGAGTCCCTGTTTGTTTCTACAGTAGTGAGTCAAAAAGATTAGCAGGTAGTTTAAGGACTAAATTGTAACTACCAGTACATTATATGGTAACCACAGATTGGGGGCATAAAACAGATCATGTGTATCATAGTAAGCCTTGGTTAATAATTGTACCATGTGTCTCAACTGACAGACACCCATTATATCAGTTGGTAGGCAGTTGATTGGAAGGCATCCTCTAGAAAACCAGAGGTCGGCTAATGGTCAAAAGTAACATGACCCAAACTCACCTCCTACCTTAAAACAATAAAACCTAACCGTGAAGGTGTAGTCTGATTGTCTGGGTGAGTGTAGTCCTGAGAAGGACTGTTGTCGGTGGTAGTCTACTGACAACAATCATTCACTTGACCCTGATGATGACTTCCGCACAGGTTGTCGAAACGTCAGTCCCTACCACCGACAACAGTCCTTCTCAGGACTACACTCACCCAGACGATCAGGCTACACCTTCACATGTTACACCCGGGTTCAAGCCATTTACTGCAAAACCTAACCGAGGAGAAAAATTTTACCCAGTGAAAAAAATTTACCTAGTAAAAAATAACATTAACTAGAAGCAAAAATGACCTACAATAGGTATACATGAAACAGTTGACTGCCATCCAATCACAAACCAATACACAAATCCATAAATAATTGATTAATTTCAACCAAGGCTACCTTCATGTATGTCACACATAATGCCATAACATAGGGTAATTTGAATGGAATCCTTATATTAAAAACTAAGGAAACGACTGCTCTACCTTACTGTTGACCTGTTAACCTCTAAGAGTGACAAGAATACAAATTCTCCTAGCAGTATCACTATTGAATCACACATGAAGGTCATGAGAATAGAGAAAGCCATCAACAACTAAAGAAGCTCCTGATTGTTAAATAAATTCTCCTTGTCAGCACTGTAGAAAATGTATAGAGAACAGTATGGAGAATATACATACTGATGTGAGGTTGTAAACGATTAAAAGTAAATTGAGTTTCTCACCTGACATTAAGAGCAGCTCCTCTGGAGATCAACAGCCTCACTACTTGCACTCTTTGATTGGCGACGGCATCATGCAGTGGAGCATCATGATCAAACCCTCCAGGAGTGTTAATCATTGCACCATGATCCAACAGAAGTTCAGTGATGGTAAGATAGCCATGGTTACAGGCTTCATGCTGAAGGATGATATAAATTCCAGTATTTCAATTGACAGAAAATTAATATAAAAAATTTAATCACTACGTGAACAGTGTTTCTGTTCTGTAAGTGCCACTATCATATCACCACATTTTGTTGTATGTATGTATTTATTTGCAATATTTAGATGGGCTGGCCAGCAGTTCAGCTCAAAGCTGGTTTAAATGGGGGCCTGTATAAATAATAACAAGGCAGACCACAACATTGCAAGCTACCTTCCCTAATCTTTACAAGAAGTACATGGGTTCTTTAACATCCCCTGTTAACATGTACATATGCAGGATATGGGGCTTGCTGATTATCATCCTTATATGAGAAGACAAGAATGGCTAACCATTCGGGGATGTCAAAGACAACACATTCTCTCTTTAGTTATTTTAAGACCCTGAGTGTTGGTTCAACTCCCTCTGATAAACTCTCTCCTGTTTTTCTTAAGTTCTTACAGTGACCACAGAAGAATAGGCAAAATAGTACAGATAAAACAAAAAGGTAAGGATTTTCATCCCTACAGGTCACCTTAAGTTCGAAGAACAATGAAACAGGTAAGATTTGCCCAGTTAAAGTCAAGAATGTAACTTACAAGTGGAGTCCAGCCAGCATGGTCTTTGGTGTTTGGATCTGCACCTTCTGCAAGTAACTTCCTCGCATTTTCCACACAACCCTGTAAAGTGGATAATTAACAGTTATTCCACGAGCTCACATTGGATATGAGATGATAGATAGCCAACGAGGCGCGTAGTGCCAAGTTGGCTATAATCATCTCATATCCAACAAGCACGAGTGGAATAATTGTTTTATTAAAAACGCCCTTAAGATAGTAGACAAATCTTTATTTTAGACAAATTTTTTAGCTCCCTTTTAATTTTAAGCTGATGCGTACGCTTACCATATTTGTAGATTATGGTAAACTGGCTCATATACCATAATGGCTAAGCCAATAAAATGTCTTGAATTGCATTATCCAATGATCCAGTTTTTAATAATACAGCATAGTTAAGAAAAGTGACTAGAAATTATAATCAAAGATATGTTATACCACAGGTGGCCCACCCAAGCAGCGTGTCTGGTCATTTGTTCGAAATATAAAGAAATGTATGGGATAATATTAAAGAGCCGTAATATCCTAAACTTATATCAAGGAATGTCTATGTTAAGGCTCAAAATAAATGTAAACCTACCTCACTTGCTGTGTATTGTCATTTCTGTGGTTCTAAATGGCGAATTTGAGCGGTTTGGTAGATTTTGCATTGAGTGTTACTTTACTGTATAAGAAGGAGCTTGGCTCAAATTCGCCATTTAGAACCACAGAAACGACAATACACAGCAAGTGAGGTAGGTTTACATTTATTTTGAGCCTTAACATAGACATTCCTTGATATAAGTTTACGATATTACGACTCTTCAATATTCTCCCAAACATTTCTTTATATTTCGAACAAAAGACCAGACACGCCGCTTGTGTGGGCCCCCTGTGGTTGTACATGACAAAACAAACAAAAACTGTCTATGACCATCAGGGCAACCTGTAAAGGAGCTGGGATGGTATGGTGACTAACATACTTGGTTTTTACCACTGTGACAGAGATTCAATCTCCCAAACCTTTTTGTGAGTTGAGTTGACTGATAGTTCTCATTCTTGGTTAGAGATTTGTTCTCCAAGTTTCTGTTCTCCTCAAAAATCAAACCTCCAAATTCTATTTTGAATCAAAAATCTGTTTCATCACAGTGTACCTTAATGGCAGCCACATGAAGAGGTGTTTCCCCACGTTTATTTCTCTTGACTTCAGGAGGACAGAGGGTAGAATTCTTTGGGCTGCATAAATTTTGTTCTGACATTTTTCTTTTCCTATTTCCTGCCAGAGATAAATTCATCAAAGATGTAAAGTGAATTTAAAAGCCCCTACCTGGGATAAAATTTACAATTTTGATGTCATTGACAAGGGAGCTACAGTGTATGCTTAAACATTGACAGACTAGTCCTCAAGGAATAGCAGATTAGTATTATTTTAAAAAACATCAACTCCTTTGTCACTGTAATCAATCATTAATTTCATTAATTATTTAAAGCTGCTGTATCAGCATCTTTTAATCTAACCTTGGGACTTTAAAGGAGTTTCCTTGGTAGCCTCTGTCTTTTTCTTTTTCATAGGCAGCTGTTCACTGATAATTCTTTCATTTGTAAGGCCTTTCTCTGGCTTATTCTGTGGTAGGGTCTTAAGTGAAGACCTCTGTGGTGTTCCCCTCAGGTTCCTCTTTTGAGCCCTTGTCCTTGGAGTGCTTTCTACTGCTTTAAGAAACCCTTTATGTAAAGGTCCATTATCTTGCATCATAACCAAGCCACCAGAAGTACCTGACCCCTTTGATCTTAGCCTTGTAAAAAGTTTTGTGTTCTCTTTATGTTTCTCTTCATCTGCAACATCCCTGCCCTTGTGATCATCTGTAACTTTGAACTGTACAGTGTCAAAAATTTCAATAAACATGTGATCATTCTGTTCTTCATTTTCATGATCACCATTTTCTGTGAAAACTGGACATGTTTTCTTTATTAATCTTGTTTTCTGTAAATGTTTTCCAAAGCATTTTTTCCTTGCTTGTGTCCTTTTTTCACCTTTTGAACTACCTGATGATGAAGCGGGAACAATTTCTTTGGTTCTTTGTCCACTTGCTAAGATCTCATTTGCAGCAAAATTTCCACTGTCCTGATCACCAAGCTCCCTACAAAGACCTTGTTTTATAATTTCTTCCCCATTACTAGCCCTTTTTGCTGCAGTGATCATCCGTGTTTTCCTGCTGTAAGTCTTTATCTGAGCAGGTTCCTTAGATTTTTTCTTGTTATTACATGATATTTCCTGCACAGCACCATCACATTTGTTCATTGCCTTAACAGGGATGACAATGTCAGGTGACGAGAATTGATAAGAATCAGTTTCTTGATCAAATATTGACTGTGTTTCCTCCCAAATCATTCTAGTTTCTGGGAACAGAATCCATGACAAATCACCACAATTACTTTATTATCATCATTATAATTATCATAACATTAATCATCATCAGGAGAGTGAGTATCATCATTATTAATTTATTCCCCTGATTGTGATGGATTAAAAAGATTGGATATATGAACTTGTTTGTCAATTCAAATAAAGAGAGCTATTTAGAATTTGTCCAAACACAAAAGAAAAAACCAGGACAGAGAGGAAATCCTCCACAACAACTTAAACCTCAGATACTCCAATTTTACAGACAGATGCTATGCATTTCAACAACAGAGCAATGTGTGAGAAAGGTATACCTAACTAAAATCAGCCGTGTCTTAGCCATTTCACACCCAAAATCCCATTAGTGATCGTCCTTAAGGTCTAGATCTGTCATACAATTTTTATAATGGTACCTTGAAAAAGCTGGTATTGAATAAACTAATAATCCCCTAAAAAAAAAAATAATTATTCCTTATTCCCATCACTTGTCTGCTTGATTTTGTATTGATATTGTAAGGAGAATCTCTATCTTGGTCATTCTTAGGGAGTGAAAGGGTTAAGCATCATAAATGTAATACAAGAGATGGTGAATTTTTATTTTGGTTATCAAAAGAAGAAAGATGTTCAACATTTGTCACTTTCCTGGAGTACTTCAAGATCTTATTTGCAGTCATTATTACCTGGTTTGTCTGGGATGCCTTTGACATTGTTATCATCATCATCATCATCACCACTGCCACTCCCCTGATCATCATCGGATTCAACAAGCATTCTTATCTTTGTACACATACTGACAGTGTTGGCAAGTTGACGGTTAGTTTTCAAGTCCTTCACCCAGGCAAATGCCCCACATTCTGGGCATTTAGAATCAGCTCCAACCAATTTTTCCACACATTTACTGCAAAAAAAAAAAAAAGTATTAGTCATCATTATAATTTGGAGTTGGATTACAGTCAGTTAGATTGCAGTCAGTTAGATTACAGTCGGTGGCAGATCCTGTGGAGGGGTCAAAGGGTACTGTCATTGACCATGCTTTTAGACTAAAACCAGGCACTAAGTGTGGGGGGGCATTAATATACCATGTAGCATACAACTTTTGTCCTAGTTTCATACCGTGGATTCATCATTTTTTTTTGTGACTCAGTGTGACTGTACTATCATAAACAGTTTTTGAAAGTTTCCATTCTAGTTGCAGAAAAATGACAAGGATGGATGTTTCCTCATGTAGTTTCCGACTCAGGCATGAAGAACTATATCCTGACAACACAACCTTTTTCTTTAGAGACGAGAGCAAAATTTATTCCATGTCCTAACCACTTTTAAACACAAAAAATTCCTACTCACTATAAATAATAGTTTTTTAGCGCAATCAACAGCTAATTAAATATGAACAAAGAATGGTATGTACTGGGAATAACGATCTAAACAATCCTCAGCTAATTGAATATGCAATAGCATATTGCAACAAAGGAAATTCCATATTTTCATTTGAGGTATGTTCCATTTCATAGACACCAGAGTTACTTCCATAAATATCAGTTCAGTCAATATGTTTTCGGGTACTTGTTTGAGCTCATTCCTCTTAACATATTTTTTCGGAGATCAGGGCCGGGTTGTTCAAAGGCGGGTTAAGATAACCCAGGGTTACCGGGAAATTTAATTGCAGATCTGAAAGCTTTAAAATAAAATTCACTTTAATTCCATTTGTTTACAATTTGATGACTGAATGCTCTAAGAAGAATTGGGAAAATTATCTTAAAATGGCTTTTGAACAGAGAAATATAGAAACCTGGATTAAAATTTAATCCTGGGTTAGCGCTAATCGATCTTCGAACAACTGGGCCCAGAGTTCTGTATACCATTCAACTACCAAAGAAGTGAACGGAGCCTCACCCCCACCAGCACAAACAGGCACACATAAGCCAGCACTGCAGTACTACAACTGCTATTATTCAGCATTATTTAAAAGTTTAAAGATAATTTGGGGAACAAACTCAAAACGAAATCAGCTGCACAACAATGTCTCAAAAATCGTCATATACATTTCTGTACGTTTTTAGACGAGTTTTGGTCGGAGCTCCAAGAATATTTACCTCATGTTTACGTAACTACTGATTCAGCTGTTTCGTGTATTTATGTTTAAAATAACTTTGGCACAACTCTCCAATCACAAAATGAAATCCTTCACATACGTACCGGCAGAAAATTTGATCACACGCTTCAAGAGAACAAGGATCAGACACAAGATTGGCACTAATAGAAAGATAAAAGTAAAATAAGCGTAAAAGATGAAAGGCATATTCCTGCTACGAGGAACTCACAGATGATAGTCGGGGTGTTCCGAGGAGTACGTACCAAACCTTGCATGTTAACAATTCTTCCAGCTTTTCTAAGGCACTCCTCGTATTTTTCCATCCAATCATCTCTCAAATCTTTCTCAAAAATCTAGATCAAACCTCCACAATAATCCAAAAGGCTACCATTCTTCGTCTGTCTTCCTACAAACTTCGCGCGCTTTGCATCTTGCTTAGTGACCGGGTCTTTACTTGACTTTGTAACCAAGCTAAGATGGCGGACGAACTGTATTTCTCCGCGTTTTCTAGATATTTTCCATCTGTTCAGCACTGAATATTTGAACTTTTGTGCTATGCTTCGAGTAAGCAGATGCCTTAAACACGTAATTAACACTAGCAAGTGTATTTCGAATGCAGAGCTTTTTACAAGATGTAGTAAACGAGGTGGCCCCTTCGCATGCACGTTGGGTCATGGGCTAAATTCTCCTGGCAAATATTGTTCGCCAACACGTCTATTTCCGGCATCTTTACAATGTTCAAAGTTATCACAAGACAGCCGAATAACAAGAATAAGAAAAACTCTACCTGATGAAATATGGTCAATTATAATTGTGGGTAAGAATAACACCTGATAACACCCATGTGGGCAGGACGTGTTCACAAAGCTCACATTATGCACTCTCTAGAGGCTATATCACATGTTGATCAACAAATCATACATCTATTATTATCAACATTATTACAACTATTAACAACATTATTAACAAATGACAGTGAATATATGAAAATCATATATGTGAACTGTGAATAGGCCATTTTACAGTTGTGTACTTAGTTGCCAAGCCTTTGATTCAGAGTGAGACTGAAGGTGACCTTGTCATGATAGAGACCTGTATCTAGTTAGCATGTTAACAAAGTGATTATATTTCAAAGGTAGCAAGGTTTGTATCATAACAAGGTCACCCCTAGCCTCACTCCCGTTCAAAGGCTTGGCAACCAGGCACACAACTGTAAAATGGACTATGAAGAATGAATATGAAAGAAATTTTTGTGGTAGATCTTAAGCAGTAGTGAAAATGATGCCTAAAATGATAAAAAAAAAACTGGCTTTATTTTCACTACTGCTCAAGTAGTGTTTATTACTGCGAAGATCATTTTCATATTCAGTATTGTATTTGTGCACAATCCTCGCAGTAAAGAGCAGTTTCTATAGCCACAGTTCAGATATATGAATTTCATATATTTGTTGTGTTATATTCAGTGTTAGTATAATTTCAGAGCTGAGCAAAGTCTCCAGCAATCTGATTGGTCGAGTGGTTCCTTATATGGCGCTATATAAACTGCTCCATGCGGTTTATATAAAATATTAAAAGAAAATGTTACTAAAATGTTATGATTTTAGACATATCTCTGTTGTTCCGCTCTGAAATTATACTAAAACAATTATTCGCCTCAGGTTCGGTGAATATTGTCGAAAAATCCCCTCGACTTCGTCTCGGGGATTATTTGACGATATTCACGTTGCCTTCGGCCAATAATTGTTAATTATTAATAACAACATCATTATCCCTCCTTATCATGATCATCAGTGTTATCATTATTATTTGAGTTTTCATAGTAGATAATACTTGTAAGACTTGTCACTGGTCTCTTACTATCATTGTAGTCTTCAAATGTGGTAGAACTTAAGTAACAGTTCTGATTTTATTATGAAATCATCTGCAAATGCCTTAGTATTACTTGTGATCTAAGATGAGTATCCAGTTGGAAATTATTTCCACCTACTTCAATTTTTATTTTCTTTTTCCAAGACATCTGGTAATGAATATAGACCAAAGGAATCTAGTTTGAAAATTATTTCAAATCGAAATTAAATATATAGGTGTTATGAAAACAATTTTAAAGATCAAATTTTATCATTACAGCACTGGGTGGTGTTCTTGTATTTACTTATACACAATATGAAAAAGTTCTGTATGGTAAAAGGAGCCCCCCAAGCCTACAAAACAAGTTAAAGATGGCAAAGGTGAGAAAACCCAGAACTTATTGTTCTGAAACCAATCTTCAATATTCACTCTGGATGCTCAGAGGGTCTCTATACCCCTTTGTAAACTCAGTCACGTCAAAACATTGTTTTGGTCTTTTCACACATCACAAATAATATTTCAAAACTGTTTCACATTCACATCTTACTTTTTCTAGGGAGGATGTTTTGTCTCATCTCATTTGTTCAAGAACCAATTGTTGTCTGTTTTATGACTTTTATCAATCTGTAAGAAGTCCATCTATATAGTCAAAACCCTGATCAAAACCTAACCAGAGCCATTCAAGAAGAACACATACATTTTCAAAACAATAACATAGCTGGGAATTCATCACACAGAATGAAATGGTTCACAAATCATGTTCAATTCAGCTCTTTATTCATGGGTCACATTTAGATAAGAAAATTTGTTCATATGGACATGAAAAGATATAATCGTCTTTGATCACTATTCTCTAATAAGAAAAACGAAATTACTATTCATGCCAAAAAAATTGCTCAATCATGCTTCACATAAAAAGTATAGGGGACCTTCTGCTCTGGGAAATTGTTGGAAAGCTGGACTACAGAGGGAGTTTGAAGGTGAAATCTCACACTGCACTAATACTCAGGTTAATCCTTCCACTCCATAGAGACTGAAAGTTGTTTACAAGTGTTTTTAAACACAACACACTTATAAAAAATTTATATTTTATAGAAAAAAACACTAGATGGAGACAAAACACAATCCATCATATTGTTGAAGGAGGCTCTTGATCTTATACATGATTACCTAAAAGAGATCAAGCAGGATTCAGATGAAGAACTTGATTTGGATGACAAGGATACAATTAAAGTGCAAAAGTACCTCGCTTATGTACTGGAACAGGTGAGGAATAAGAAGGCTTTTACTTCTGAATCAAATGTTGAAAGTATCTTAGTTTCCAAAGGCAGTAAATTTCTAAAGAAACCATAATGCTGCATTGATGGCAGGAGTAAGAAAGTAATTTGGGTGTTATCAACCAAGTTGATAATGAAAAATGGCCACTGTAAAGAAAGAGTTCCTAAGCTTATGTTTCAAGCATAAGCTCTTTGTCAGAGCCTTTGAACTTTAACCCTTCATTTTAGCCCTTCATTAGCTTTTATTAAAAAGTCTTTACAGTTTGCATTGTGAACTCAGTTGAGAAAATCAAATTATCCTTTTTCCTAATGAGCCAAGTTGCATGTATTTTGGACTATACGTAATTCTTTTCATGTGATTATCTCTACTTACAGTTGGCAAATCTCACATTTGAGCTTCAGAGATGGAATGAGGTAATGTAATACCATTACATTTTTGAGTATGTTGTTTGTGCAACTACAGAGCAACATGGTGTAAAAGGCAGGTTGAAGGGTATTGCTGAAATCTCTGTCACTACATTACTTTTCACACTTTCTCCTTTCATGTTGTAATAAATAAACAGATAAAGTAATAAATAGTTAAGTTCCCTAGACTACAAGCAGTTCCTCATTTTCGGCAAAATCCCCCACACCAGTGGGCTCCAAGATTTGGGCACTTTTTGAGCACCTGACTCAGGGAGCATTTTTTCTTTCATGGATTTTTTTTTTTGACTCACACAGCAGAGTTACTTCTCGAAGTCTAAAGTTCCCATGCAGTGAGAATTTTGAGAGTTTGCCTTGGAAAAATACCTTTTTATAATGGCTTTGTCCACAAGAATTATTTTTGGTGTAATGAGGTGAACAGTTTAAGAAGCATGCTTAATTATATTATTTCAAACTATTTATTTTTTTCAATCTTGATTCAGGCAGAGAATTATTTCCGCCTACTACTGAGAGACCTTTTGTCACAGGAAACTCCAAAGGTCAGTGACAATTAAATCAAAGATAGAAAATCACTCAGTCGCCTTCCAGTTACAAAGGTTTGAGTTGAGATTCCTCATAGAGACCCGGAATTTTTCCTTTGTCCTAAGCTCTTGACCTGACAAAAAACATACTCCTTCATTCCATTATGAATTTTAAAGTGCGCCATCTTTCTTACTCAAAAAAGTGTGTTGTTGCAATATTATTGGGTTCCCTGTTTCTTTGTATCTAAGGATGATGATAGTGTCATTGAAGTGTCTCTGAAGCTGGCTATTGCATGTGCTCATCAAGACAAGTGAGTTCAGTAGATTTAAACCAAAGTAATTTAGTTATAAAGAGCATTAACCTTTCATCAGAGCAAATGGATAAAGAGCTAACACTAGAAATGTCAGCCTTTTAACTCTTTATGGTGGCCAATTTACAATTTCAACTTAGTTGATATATAACCAAATTACCTTGTTACCCCCACCAATGCAGCACCACAGTTTAGAAACTTACTCCCTTTATTCATTTAACAAAAGTAAAATACTTTTAATGCTACAGTAACATTTGTTTGGTGAAGGCTATCCAGTGGGCTGTTGAGCAACTTAAATGGACAGATTGGTTTCAGGACAAGCCAGCAACTAGAGAAATTTTCCCTCTATGTCAGGCAAAACTGCCACCTATTTTCTCTGAAACTAAGCACACCAGAGTAGAGATTGAATTTCCATTGGCTACCTACTTTGCAGTTTTCGCCTTGTGCTTTAAATTTGATCAAAATCCCTCAGACTGCTTCTTATACTTGAAGACTATTGGAGTGCTTTTCAATTGATTATTTTACTTGGAGACACGCATTTGCAATGCTTTTCAAGTTATTATTTTACTTAGAGACTGCTTGTATGAGACCTTTTTACTGAATGTTTCTTGTTTCATAGGCACGCTCTAGCCATGCAAGGTTTCCAGTGGGCTACCAGCACAATTCAAAAGAAAGTTGATGAGTTACCAGCCGCAACAGATAATAGGTTGGTAATTACTATTGTACTGCAATCAAAAAATGGTTGGAAATGGAAGATCTCTCCTAGTTGCTGTTTATTATTATTACTCTTATTATTATTATCAAGAGATTTCTTATGACATAAAACTGTAAAAGTGAATGATAAAATCCGACGTTTCAGAGTAGTCATGACTCCATTATCAAGGAAAATATAAAATATTATGCAAATTGCAAAGTATAAAGCGTTTTTGGCACGAAGAATTAACATAAGAGGGTGCGAAGATCATAAAAATGTTATAAAAATACTTTTGCTCAAATGGAGTCTGATTGCACATTGAAATTTGGCTTTAACACTCTTATAAAAAGCATTTTGTACACTAAGCAGTCAAATTTGTTTCTGCATTTTTTTAAGCACTTCAAAATGCTTCGATCTTCACGCCCTCTTATGTTAATTCTTCGCACCAAAAACGCCTTATACGTTGCAATTTGCATGATCACTTATTATTATTATTATTATTATTATTATTATTATTACTGATATTATTATTATTATTATCATTATTATTATTCTTAACATTTTTGCTTGTCCCCATATCCTGAGTAGCTGGAAGTGCAGAACAGAAGTGCAATTACTTAGCCTCCTAAACCTCAAGAGTGACCAGCATCTAATTTCTCCTTACATTATCACCCCTGAATCACACTTTAAGGTCAGGAGAATAAAGGAAATGATCACCAAGAGTGACCAGAATCTAATTTCTCCTTACGGTAACACTGCCAAATTATTCGCTAAGATCATGACAGTAAAGGAAATGATCACCAAATTAGGAAGTTTTGATTGTTAGAGGAATTCTCCTTGTCACTACCAAGGGAAATGTAGAGAGAACAGTATTGACAACATGCATACTATTGTTATGGTGTACTGGATTAATGATTCAATCAGCTCTACCCAATTCCTTGTCTCTTGTTCCAGTAAAGCACTGTTAGGTGTGTGTCTAGAAGGTTGGGGCACATATCTACTGGCTCAGGATAAGCCTGCACAGGCAGCCCAATTGTTATCAAGAGCCTTGAATATTTCCAAGGAGGTTCTGGGGGAGGACCATGAACAGGTAGGAACAGTGTGTCTTAATGGACTCTTCAGTGAATATTCCTTAGAGCGAATAAATGACAATATTTTTCAGCATAGAGTGAAATCATTAGATTCTAAATTCTATTGTATTTTGGGTGTACTTCAGTTAGAATTATCACTTTCTTGTTTTCAACTCCCTGCGTTTTGATCAATTTTCCCCGTCCGTGCCAAGACAGGTGCTCTCAACGTTTATACTGAGCATTATCGTTTCAGTCTTGATAAGATATAATGGGTGTTTTTTTTTTGTTTTGTTTTGTTTTGTTTTTGCAGCTCCTCAATTTAAAATTTTTTCATATTGATGAAAACCTTTCAATTGAATTTGATCTTTGTTTCATTCAGACAACGGTGATCCTTAATAACCTTGCAAAGGCCTACGCCGAAAGCGGCGACTACGAATATGCAGAAGAACTTGCCAGAGAAGCGATACGAATGGCCGAGAAGACACAAAGCACACATCTCTCTCGGTTTATGGCCAACCTGGGAACCATCCTCAATTTGGAAGGTATGGTCACAAAGTTTGATAAATTAGAGTTGATTCTTTCTCGGAATAGCTAGCTGCAGACACACTCTCCGCAGTAGTGGTGTAGGCACAGAGACAACATTACTAGTCAGAATTTTGCAGCTACCCCCCACACGAAAAAAGCTGCGCATGTGACTTTTCTCGACGTGTACATGGGGGTGGTTCTACTTTATCCTTGGTTGAACTTTTATTCCTGTGTTTCGAAGTATGGAAGTCTCCCCTCGCGAGAGACTTCTCATTCGCGCACACGTTTGCTCTCGCACGTGACTTCTCCATCGCGCTCACGCTCAACTGAAGAAAAACAATTTGGGGTTGCCCTCTTTGATAGAGCAACCAGACAAAACCTCTGCGAGCGTGGCCCACGCAATTTCTCTGGCGACCCTGCTGGATGCTTGCCATTTCCTTATCCTTTTTGATGATTTTTTTAACCATTTTTCCCTCTAAGGAAATGTATCGAAAGCTAAGGAGGCTCTGAAGACTGCTCTGAAACTGGCAAACGAAGCCAAGGACGAAGAAACTAAAGAAATGATTCACAACAGTTTGACTGAGATGGACAGTAATCCCTCGTAAGGAATTACGAATTGTGTCGATTCTGTTGGAAAAGAAGAATTTTAAAAACAATTGGAATGTTACAGTAAAAGAACGCCTTTTGACAGACTACAGCGCTGCTCAAGCAATAGACCACATTTTCTATCGGTTTACCGTCGTAATAAGGTCTGAAAAACCCCCCAGGATGTTTAGAGAACACTAAATAACGAGCCCAAGTGGGTTATTACGCCGGTAAACCGATAGAAAGTACAGTGTATTAAAATGAACTCGAAACAAAGCACAGTTTTCAGTTTTTATGGGTTTACCAGTGCAATAAACGAAAGGAGTTTGACCAACCAGGGCCCTTGTTGTATCCCGTTTATTTAATAATTTGTAATGGTCAGAAGCATAGAGAGGTGGGAAAGGGAAAGCGACAACATATCTGCTTCTGGTGCCTGTCCGCCAGTGTTCATTCTATGACCGACATGAACTGCATGACAAAACATCTAATAGCGTGCGTGACAAGCAAGAAATATTAACAGAAACGCTCAACAAATTTGGCTCTTGCAGCCTCAACGTAACATCATTTAAAAGGTCAACAATTTTCCAGTCAAATTGACTTTACAAAAGTAAGAAACATTAACAGAAACGTTCAGCAAATTTGGCTCTTGCAGCCTCAACGTAACATCATTTAAAAAGTCATCAATCTTCCAGTCAAATTGACTCTACAAAAGCAAGAAACATTAACAGAAACTTTCAACAAATTTGGCTCTTCCAGCCTTAGCGTAACATCATATGAAAATTCAGCAATCTTCCAGTCAAACAGACTCTTCAAAACTGTATTTTCCAATTGGTGAGTTGTAGCTTCATTTCCTGGTCTCGAAAGCAGTACCTGAAAAGTAAACACAAACTAAAATGTAACCATTTTCCCTTCACTCTTTAACTTCCAAGATCTGATCGTTAACTCTCCCCTCTAGCTGCTAAACATTTCCTTGTGAATTAGTTCTGAGAATTTGGTGTTAGATCAGGATAACAACTTCTACTTCATAAGTTTGAGTATTCTCATCACCTATTTGCTGGATAATGTACGGATATTATAGGGACACGATCCTTACACAAAGATAAAGCACCATCATGAACGACGTCAAACATCTGTTTGGAGCCAGAGACGGAAAAGAAATATGTGAGTCACGCATGCCGATATGAACTGAAGCCCTTAGGATTTCGCGCCGGGTCCAGCTCGGACACTGTAACTAAGCGTTATTAACCAAGCGTGAGCTTGGCTACCGTAAAGAGTTTCAAAGCTGACGTTTCGAGCGTTGGCCCTTCGTCAGAGCGAATGAGGAAGGGCTAAAGCTCGAAACGTTAGCTTTTTTACTCTTAACGGTGGCCAATTTTCAGTATCAGCTCAGTCGATAATACTAAATTATCTTGTCCTAGAAATACCTGTCTTTGGAAAGCAGAAATCCCATTCGCGCTTTTCAATTCCCTCTTTCTCGTTTAAATCACACGACTTGAGAAAGCCATAGAGACAAGGTTCGTAACCAAGAACGTCATTAAATACATCTTGGATTTCCGCTGTATCTAGAACGTTATTTTTGTCTCGGTCAATGTACTCAAACTCCCACTGAAATTAAAAGACGAAATGAAAAAATCAATGGAGGATACGATACAAGGTCCTTTTCGGATTGTCTGGGTGATTTGAGACTCGTCGCCTCACCCCTCCCCCCCCCCCCCCTAAAAAGAAAAAAGAAAGTCAAGATAGTGGTGGTGTAAGAAGATAAAAATTTAAAAAAAACAAAAACAAACCGAAACGCGATGAAGTTTTTAAGGTTTTTCGGTTTAGGGCCACTGACACGACACTGCGAGATCTCACAAATATAGAGGCAAGACCGATACAACGTATTTTTGCGAAATTTTGATTGTCGAAGCTAAGAAAATATCATTCATTATCATATTGAAGACAAAACTTCATTAAAATTAACTTTCAACGCACTTTAAAACACGCCTACTACAAAACTAGTTTCGTCCACAACGTAGATAAGTTTTAAAACGGAGCACTATATTTCGGCTGGCCAAACCAGCCTTCTTCGGGTGCAGGAGGGGGAGAATACGAATTTTTTATGTTAAAAAGTTGGCGATAGAAAAAAAACTGCCGAGGAATCTTTTCAAGTTCTGTAACTTCCAAACTGTTTGCTCTTCCCATTTTTGTTATTTATCACAACCAATTTCCATGTCTTATAAACAAAAAATGGTAAAATAAAGTCTGTTTACGAGCCTAGTGGCCCATTAGGCCGGTGCTTAACTCCGGTTTCTGTAGCATGAAGCGACTAGGAGTATTTCTACTCCCCCCTGGATAGGATGCCAGTCCATCGCAGGGTTATCCCCAGCATTAAATTGCCGGTACCTATTTATACATCAGGGTTAAGAGAGGCACTGTGAGAGTAAAGTGTCTTTCCTAAGAACACAGCACAATGTCCCGGCCGGAGCTCGAACCCAGACCACTCGATCCAGAGTCGAGCGCACCAACCATGAGGCCACCACGCCTCCACATAAACAAAAAATACTGCATAAGAACCTTTTCAAGTTCTGTAATTTCTAAAACTGTCCGCTCTTCCATTTTTGGTATCTATCACAATCAATTTCCATGTCTCGCCTTACACGGTTAACTGACACGGTCGTATCCAGGGATAAATGAGAGTTTCACAAAATGCGTCCTTCCCCGTTCCCGAAGAGTTAGGTTACGATCCAAACACTGGTGACTGTTAGGACATGATCAGCAATGACTGTGGCTACCAGTAACTGATCCGGAGAGGAGAGTGGGGAAGGGTGGGGGAGTGTGGGGAAGGGGGAGAATGTACATGGTTCAAAGCCCACTTCCATCAGACCTGTTAGTTTTCTCCCTTTACAACTTGTCAGACACCAAAATTATTGCAACTACATAATCACGTTACTACTCATTACTTTACTTGCCAAGAAATATTTTCTAGATCATTTAAGCTGTGAAGTGAAAAAGTCTGAGTTTTCTGAATCAAGTCGAGGACATATTCCCCTCCTTCTCATCCCGGCATCAAAAATTCCTGGATCCCCCCTGGCGAGGCACTCACCGACAAAATTTCATTGCGTTCGTCTTCAGTGAGCCCGTCAGCTCGTGCATTGAAGTCCAATGAGGTGGTGGGGTCAATAGAATGTTCGCGAGCGATCATGATCCATTCTAGGTAACGGGTCGGGAACTGAAGCAGAAACTGGTCTGAACAGACGTGCAGATCTACAAATGACAGCATATAATCGTTTCAACCATCAACTCTGACCACATCGTATGTTGACGTAAAATGTTCTTGAGAACACACACAAACAACGGCGCAGTTGGAACTTAGGGGCTGGCTAAGAAAAAGTCTCAGCAGAAGAGAACTACGATAGTTCTCTTTTGCCTTCTGCCACTTGCTTGAGGTTACGTACTGAATTAAGGCCTCGTCGTAAGTCAAGTCGGTACAGACACTGCTGTCTGTGTTTTCTAAAAAAAACATTTATGACAAATTGAAAACGCTGAGGTCGTGAGCACGAAGCGCGTAGTGGTGATAGTGAGGAAAAATAACACCCTTTTACTCCCAAGATCTTATGAGAAATTCTCCTTACTGTCTGTCATATATTTTTAACGTTCGTTTGGAGAATTTGGTATTAGATAAATTTATAATCCCCTGATTGATATTTTTCTTTATTGCCATCACTTTTCTATTTGACTTTACATAAAATAGAGTGATGAGAAATTCTGTCTAAGTCACTCATGAGAGGTAAGTACCATCCGCTTCACTTACTGTCTGTGGGACAATTTCCTTGGTTCATTACTTTCATTGTCAGGTCATGTGCACACGCGTACTTGTGCATCTCGCATCGGTTGTTAAACTCTCTATGGTAAAAGCTACAAACCGGCTCAGACTCTTCTGGACAGTCTTGTGGACATTCGCAAGTGGTATAGCTTTTACCGCTGTCCATGTAGGGCACGCACATTTGCCCCCTTGGACAGACCACACCCTTGCAAGGATCATCGTCCTGTCCGCGCACCTGATAGAGTCAATGACATAGGCCTGCATTACGTACGTACTCTAAACCAGTTTAAAACTATATATATATTCTGCTTAGCCTTTTTAAATGGGTTTCTTGAGTCTCTCACTCTGTTTTGAGGCACCAACAGCTCCACCGTTAAAAAAGAAAAATCCCTTAAAACCACCAGTCACACGACTAAATCTAAACTACAGAGGCAAGGATTGATACCTCGCAGATCATATCAACGAAGAGAAACAAACTTTACCGTCTAAATCAGCATTTCAAAGGTGAAAAACAGGACATGGGTGATGGAATATCCATCTGCCAAGATAACAAAGACCTGCATGGAAACTTCTCTCAAATTAGAAATTTCTTCTTACATTACTTTCGGGTAAATTGGGTTTGGTGATAACACGTTAGCCTGTGAACAGCCACCCCATACCATCCAAAAGAAAATCAGGAAGGGGCTCCTTTCCGATTTTCTTTTGGAGGGTAGGGGGCCGTTGTGTATAGGCTATAACCCAGTGGTAACCAGTTACACCCGATTGTTGTTTTACGAGGCAAACACTTTCAAAATGGTCGCCTTCAACTAGTTGCATGCCAGCGATACTTCCATTTCGAGCCACTTTAACAGGCTCAAAGGAAGACAACACGATAAATAAACACTCTGTTCTCACCACGCTATTCCCCTTTCGTCCTCCTCGTTCTCGCCGTCACGTCTTTTGCACCGAGCTCCAGGTCGACCATGACTCAAGCGATAACAGAATCAAGCGTAACTATTCGCGAGCGGGCGCCAGCCTAAATTACACACGTCGGTCAGACACCTAATTTCTTTTAAGACTCCGCGGCGGAATAAATTATGTCGCGATAGGTTGACTGTTCAAAGTGTATCGTGAGCCAATTATCGGTCCAGTAGCTGGAAGAAAGCTGCGGTGTAAAGTATGTTTTTCTCGAATGAATCGGATATCACGCCCATGTGCAAAGACCACCCTGACAGGTCTTAAATCGACCGCTTAAATTTGATATAATAGAGAGTTATTTAGCAGATTTGTACCATGCTAAACCAATAGAGAACAATATGGTAGGAAATCAGATAATTAAACCCAGAGATTTAAAGTTTCCTACATATTTTATTCAACTCTATTACCTGGTGAAAAGTCAAGGGGATAATTTGCTTTAGAAACTCCAAAGTTTGGCGGCTTTACGGTAGCTGAAGGCGGTGTCCTTTCAACGTTTACCGCACTATATTAAAGAGGTTTTGTAGCAAAGCATGTCTCTAGCCGGGTTAATCTCTTCCAGAAATGTCAGTTATCCTATCTTAGAAAACAACCAGGCAGTATTAAAAGATTTCTGACCGGGTCACTATAATCAATGAAACAGCCGGCCTTTTATAATTGCAGCAACCCTTATTAAAAAAAAAAAAAATAGATAAAAGTACACCTCATTAAGATTTGCAATAAAGTAGGTAAACGTTTACTTTACGGGCGTTTGTTTTTCCATGGAGGCTGAATTTCAAGTTTTTTCTCCGAAGGAACCATTGGAGAAATTCAATTATTAGAATTTGAATCGCTCTGTTGCGATCTGTCAAGCAGGTTTCACAAATGAAAGCGAAGAAAGCGGGAAAGGAATTTGTGTTGAAAGATTTCTGCTCTCAAAGATTCACACCTTCGCGTGCCAGTAATTCATTTCACAAGGGTAGAGTTTTTTCGCTAGATAAATGGAACAACACCATATTCGCTTGTATGCTTTACAAGAAATTCCCATCAGAAATCTAAAAGCGCGCTGTATAATATTTACAACTTGACAGAGAAAAAGTTCATCAAATATACAAGGAGATCCAATCATTGACAATTATTCAAAATATCCAGCATCAGAATTAAAGAGGATTTGAAGCATTTTGGTTTGCACCAACTCAAAACTCGAGAGGTTTCAATGACTTTCAAGAGCATTTTGGACAGAATCCAGTTTTGTAATGCATTCCATTACAAGAAATCAGCTGGCTTACAGTTAAGCCGGGATAATGATTTCCTAAACGGTGCGAAAAATAATAACTCCTATTAAATCAAAAAAAGGTATGAACTCGCTCTAGATAGGAAAACTTGTACCTAAGGGAATTTTGTTTGTATCGAAAAGCGGGGTTTATCTCTAAATTTTATTTTACTCCTGAGATAGACGAGGTAGACGCGAGATGAATTAAGAACTGAACTCCTTGGTACTGATTGACATTTTTTTTTAATTGAAATGTTTATACTGGGCAATAGGAAATTCTTCGGCATGTTTTCTTTGTAAAAACTCGGCCCTTTTAAGTTAAATAAACTGTGATGAATACAAAACTGCGCCGTAGTCAATCGAAAAGATAATTCCGTCAACGAGAAACGTATTGTTTCTGCTTCTCATTGGGAAGAGATTATACACATCAATCTCTAAATATCTCTTAAACATTTAATGGATCGATATTGATGTGCAAACTCTCACATAAGAAGCATCAGTGCATTTAAGAAATGTAGCTTTTCTCAAAGTGGAAGATTCTCTTAGTCTGTGAGTCAGAACTACCGTGAAGAGGTCAGATATCATTAACTTTGCTACGCATGGCGCGCCATATTCGGCAACCATACCATAAGTGTGGCGTGGAACGAAAAAACCATGTAAATTCGTTGAGCATTTTGTTTCGCACCCCTCTAAGAAAGCAGCTTTTCCGATCAATAAACCCAATATAGAAAAACATTTATCCAGTATTATTTGAAATAAGCCTCTTGTTTAACAACTGTGTTTTAAATGCTTTACTGGGTCGGTTTCCAATACTGGGGGTTCATTTTTTTTTGTCACTTTGATTTTGTCAGCAATGCCTAATCGTTGTTAACCCTACTGATCGCTCGTATCAAAAACACGGCTAAGAGTTCATTCAAAACAGGCATTCAACGTGCTCACCTGGAAGATGCAAAATAAACACAGAATCACGGAGATGTAAAAGAACCTCTCGGTTTCCATTTTCTTCCAAATCGTGCCGGATTCAAGCCACCACCTACTGTTCTGTTGATGTTCCGAGTTAAATGATCTTCTCGCAACACGCCAAGGCGTTGAAAATATATACTCTACTTCGCTTTTAACACAAAGAGGCGTTCACTTAGTCTGGTGTGGCTGTGTAACCTGAGAAATGATCACAGCGGAAGCTCTCTTAATTCAGTTATTTGATGTAGAAAGTATTTTATCTGATCAACCACTGGCTGCCGCGCCGACTCCCACAGCTTCGCATAGCAATCGCACCAAACTGCCTTGTTTTCCAAAGGAAGTGTTTTTTGATGGCATCGAGATAAAATCATTGCGGTTTGACTTTATCTCTGTTTTCTTTCGACCCTCTCATTTTTGGCACAGATAGCCGAAGCCCCAAGTCTACATGCTACCCGAATTGAGCATAGAAACAATTTCTTGACTACACAGTATCGATGATGGCTTTTAATTGTTTTACCAGATTGTTCTGTCTTATTGCACTGCTGACGTACATTTATAGACATAAAAGGTTTCGTTTCGCCAGAATATTTTTGCTACATTTGTCAACTTATTATAAACTTCACCCTCAGGGCGAAAAAAACCGTAGACTGAACCTTTTATGAGCTCTATTTTAGACTACAAATGAACACTTTTACTGACATGAAATGCACATTACAACATTGCGCAGACACTAACTCCGTTTTTTTTTTCTCCTTGAAGGGAATTTTAAAAATTACCCTTTCAGTTACTTTATTTTGAACATTTTGTTTATTTTTTAAACTGTCATCATCTATTAGCTGGAATCAAAACACTCTTAGACCGTTTCTTGGTGTTTATTTTGATAAATCGAGCGATGTTGACCTCATGATCAAGTGAAGTTTGCCGAGGCTAAATATTGCCTGACAGCAGGCCCGGTGTCATAAGTACCACATGCCTAAGCTCGATTACCGGCCGCTGTTCGGGAACCGGAGCCCCCGCTCCTCCCCGAACCCGAACTCTTCTCGATCTCGGGGAGGAATGAAAAAGACCGGACCCGAGAGAGCGGCGGATATCGAACCTACCACAGAAAAGTTCACGGAAGCTCGTCCAAACCTCTGGAGAGTATCAGATGCTTGTTCTAAGATTCCAAGCGATTTCAGTTTGAAATATCATGAACGATTTACGGTCGTTTCGCCACTGTGAGAATTCGAAGTCGTTTCGCTCCAAGAGTAATCTTTTCAAAACTTTCCCCCTTATTAATGAGAATGCTGAAAAAGACTTCGAAGAGGGAGTTTTAAAGAAAGATGTTATTTGTCCGATCAAGCATGGGACAGAGAAAAACCCGAGAACCAAAGGGGATTCGAACCCTGGACCCTCGCGCTTCGATGTTCTACCACTGTAAGTATTCAGGGGGGTGGCAAATGGAAGGGGGGGAGGTTCAATTACGCGTCATATAAAAAGGAGAAAGTATGCTAATCTAATACTGCAAGATATCAACCCATCTGATGTATTATTTAAAACTATATTGCATTCAACGTTTTTTATTCTGGAATTAATTGCCTTTCAGTTGTCATATTGCTTTTTGTTAGACACTTAAAGACGACTTACTTGTTGAAGATAGACGCTCCGAGGGCGTTTACTCAGGCTTCGTACCGCAACATCCCTCCTGAGTTAGGAGGAGAGGACGAATGACATCCAGATTACCTTCTAGATCAAAGAGCGTTTACTTACAGTTTCAGGAAATCTAATCAGTAAGTCTAGTA